GGTTGCAAACGCTGTATGGTCTATATATAGCTAGTGGGTAGCTAGCTATATCACAGCCACTAAGATGCACTAAGATGGGGTACAAGATGAAAAGTACCAGGCAGAGAAGGATTTTAAAACTTCGCTGAATAGCTTTTCTATAACTGTTCTCTTAAAAAAAAGTCGCTTGGTCTTTGGTATGCGCAAGTAATATAGAAACAAAGTTTTATCTAGTTCAAGTTTGTTCATCCCAAGTCAGGCAGCCCAAAATTTGCAAGCCGGGGAAGCATCAAGGGGTTTTATGCATAGATTAAAAAGAAATAACTAGACAAGAATCAAACATAGGAGAGGCAACATCATTAGAAACTCATAACGCCATCGCTAAAACGAAGCAGATGAAATTCTTACTCGTGCTCTGATCATTAGCCATAATGGGAACCTCCAGGGCAAAAAGAAACAGGGGGAAGCGGAGAAGTAACCAAACAGGGATAGAACATTTCCTGAATAAAAGGGGGTATAAAAATAGTTAAGGTAGGGGAGGCTGATAGGAAGGCAGATTGAAGATATCATTCCAGACATATCAAGCAAACCACGGATTCAATAGCCTAGATTCCCGAGAATAGAAGCGGCTTCATTGGCTGGCAGTCCGCATACACCCAAAGCGCGGACCTGGCTGCCTTTTCTCAAGCGTTTAAGACCAAGAGCGACCTTCCACGCCTCGCTCTCATCAAGGACGAAGATGAACTTTTTACCTTCTTGGTCTCTGATGCTGGTTCTGATGATATGCAAGCCGCGTGATTCTGCTGTCTGTAGAATATCTTGGTTAATACCACTGCCAGCGCTATGATAAACGGAACTACTAGCACTGCTCGCCCCGAAACGGCATTGATCTTTGCAGGTTTGAAGAATCCCTGTAACAAAAGCGTCTGAATCCTCGCTGCTAGGCTGCTTGGATGACGAATGCAAGTTGCCAAATCGAAATGGGTTGAGCTTTCCATTGCCTGAGCGAGCAGGAGGATTGCTATTCGCGGAATGGAAAGGGCACCATACCTCTACTAGTTTCATAGTCCAAGCCTTGATATCCCATTCTCTCTGAGCCACACCTCTGACGTCATCATCAACAAACATGCCTTCTGTTGTCATTCGCAGAATAAGCCCATCCGTGACTGAGCCTACTCCAGATACCAGTTGAGCGATGGGAGTTCTCATGAATGCGTTGTTAAAGGTGTATACACCGTGGATGACAATCTTGTCGGGGTTCTTGGTCATATATGGCCCACGTTGAGACGGGGGAGGCGTGGTGTTCGCTGTTGACTGAGAATGAGCATAAGTTGACTCTGACATAACCGATGGCGCCTGACTCGGCCTGCTGGTGGTGGATCTCGGCCGGTCATAGGGACGAAACGAGTATGCATCGTCTTCTGTCTCGGTTGTTGCCGTCTTGACGGAGGGGAAAGGAGGCCTTTCTCGTGCAGGTTTCGGAGCCGGCCGCTTCTCTGGAGATGCAGGCTTCTTTTCTGGAGACGGTGATCTCTTTTCTGGAGAGGGCGCTTGAGACTTTGGTTTGACAGGAGAGGGTTTTGTGGTTGACGATAGTTTTGTGCCGGATGAGACCGATGGAGCGACTGAAGGAGCAGGAGAAGGTGCAGCAGTAGAAGCAGCAGCAGCTGCTGCTGCTCGTTTGGCTGCCGCCGCTTCTTTTGCCGCCGCGTACCTTGCAGCAGCCTCTTGTCTGGCCTTCTCCTTTGCTGCCTTCTCTGCGGCCTCCTTCTCCGCTGCTTCCTGCGCGGCTTTGGCCTCTCGCTCGGCAGCCTCTTTGGCAGCCTTCTCCTTGGCTCTCTTCTCCTTCCACAAACGATATTCTCGTTCCCGGTTCTCCTTATCACGCTTTTCTTGTTCCTCGCGGGCCTTCTTCTCCTCTTCCTCCTTTTTCTTGCGTTCTGCTTCCGCCCGCTTACGTTTTATCTCATCCATCTTCCTCTTCAGCTCCTCTCGCCTTCTTGTTTCTTCCCGGGCTTTCTCCCACTCGGCTATCTTTGGGTCTACCATTGGAACTTTAGGAGCTTCTGGCTTTGGAGGCTCAGGTTGGGGTGCAGATTCCGCAGGTTTGGGGGGTTCAGGCTTAACCTCAGGCTTTGGAATCTCAGGTTTCGGTGGTTCAGGTTTAGGTTCTTCCTTCTTTGGAGGCTCAGGCTTAGGCTCTTCAGGCTTGGGCTCTTCCTTCTTTGGTGGCTCAGGTGCTGGAGCCTCTGGCTTTGGCTCTTCAGGTTGTGGTGGCTTTGCTTTTGGCTCCTCTGGCTTTAGTTCCTCTTGTTTTGGAGGCTCAGGTTTTGGTTCCTCTTGTTTGGGAGGCTCAGGTTTAGGAGGCTCGGGTTTAGGGGGTTCAGGCTTTGGCTCAGGCTGTTTGGGCTCAGGGTCGGGTTTGGGCGTCTCAGACCTACGCGGTGCATGCTTTCGCGGTGGAGGTGGTGGAGACTCAGGCCTTGGTGCCTCACGTCTTGGTGGTGGGGGAGGCCCCGGGGATTCGGAGCGCGGAGGGTCACGCCTATGTGGTTCTGGAGACGGCGGAGAGTCATAGCTACCATAGCTCTGGCGGCTCCCTGGATAGCTACTTCTGTTATACTGATGCCCTCCCGGGTACTGGGGGCCAGCACCTGGATATGGACCACCTCCCGGATACGGCCCTCCTCCTCCTCCTCCTCCAGGGAACCCAGCCCCTGGATTAGGCGGAGGAGGGAATCCAGCACCAGCGTAGTGTCCACCGTAGTTCTGATATGAGCCACCACCCGCTCCAGGCCCAGGGCCCGCTCCGCCAGGAGGTGGAGGGCCATGTCCACCTGGCGGAGGAGCACCTGGAGGAGGGCCGGGCGGAGGGCCACGGGAGGTACTTCCATTGCTTGAAGCAGCAGGCTTTGGGCGAGACCGCTGACGGAAGACACCTTCTGCCTGCGCCTTACCAATGGCCCAGCTGACAATGCCAATTCCAAAGGCAAGCAGGAATACACCCATCCCACCGCGAGCCACGACAGTTGCACACCAGGTCTTTAAGGTAGGCAAGGCGTTGAAATAAAAGTATACACCGAGTAATGTTACTGCAACTCCCGCCAAAAAACTGTTTGTATGGCATTGGAGGGACGGAAGGTATAGAAAGCCACCGCCAGCCGAGTGAGGTGGGATAATAAATATATCGTAGGAGCCCTCAGGTAAATCTGTGGATTTCCGGTACCTGCTGCCATCGCCAGGCCCTGTATCACTCCTTGGGTTGGCTCCATGCGGAGGAGGCGGTGGAGGAGGGCCGTCCATTATGCGGGTCTCTGAGCCTGCAGATACACAGCAAACAACTCAGAAGCCTGCCTCTTCTGCTCTACAGTCTGGCCGGAAGCAGGTGCTGTATAATATTCCCTGCACCAGGATTCTCTCTTCCCCTTTCTTCCTTTTTTTTTTGTGGCTCTTTTTCTTGCTTATGGCAAAATGTGTTGTATATCTCTGTTCGTATAAATAGAAAACTCATGCATCATGGTCTCGACACCATTACACGACGCAGTATGCGACCTGTTATGCGCGCGAGACCAGTCCGAATCGCTATCCCCCTTATTGAAAGTCAATGGGGTGGATGGAGGTTTGGTGGGCGTTCAGTCACGTATGAAATTGTTGTCAATATCGATATTTTTCGACGGAGAGAGAAGATATCCTGAATCTAATGATAAGTATAGATAAAAGAAAAGTAAGCAAATTGAGCAATGTCCATAGGGTGGGAATTCTCTTGAAGGGGAAGAACGAAGATTTCAGCCTCTAGACTTACCGAGTTGTCCTGTTGTCGAGTCAACCGCCAAGTTGAACAGCGATCTTGATAGGCTGAGCGCACAGATCAGAGGGATAAGATAGATAATATCAGATGCTCAGGATTGAACAAGACTCGAGTCCCTGGCGATGGCTTTGAGCTTTTGTGGCTTCCTCCAGGAGAAGAAGAGAAAGAAATATCGACTTAATTCAAAAAATGTCATTCCCACCCTTTTTCCCTCTTACTGGGGAAAGCCGTTGACATCCATTTGTTTTCTTTTTTTTCTTTTTCCTCTCTTCTCTTCTCCCTCTGCTGTTTTCTTCTTCTTCTCCAAACACCGCAGAACAGTCCAATCGGATAGCACGAAGGTCCCCTGTCCATCTACCTTGTCTCCATCTCCTGGCCTCCTCGACCTATCGAAGACGAACCCTGACACCGGCCCGCGATAAGTGGAGGAATAGGGACACGTTGTAGCGAATTACTGGAGGTCTGAGGATGCAGCGGTAAGGAAATAGTACGAACTATAACATCCAGTGAGAATGCCATCTCCTATCGTTTTCTACCTTTAAAGAAGTGGTACATACGTAGTCGATATACATACGAATATATATATATACAGTGTATGTTTCTATGCTTGTCTTGTTTGCTGCCTTTTCTTCTGTTGTTTGGCTGCCAAACCAAAGCAAGGTGAAAATGTGATGAAAAGTGCAAGTTGCATAAAGAAAAATAAAAATAAAACAAAAATCCACTTTTTCTCGCTCTTTTGTTTATTTTGATTTTTCCTATTGGGGTTAAACTGTCGTGCGACCTTTTCTAATTGGTCAACTTACTTTAGAGTTGGTTAGTAAGTTGTAAGCAGCTTATGTAATATATCACTGCGAGCAGATCTTGGATGCGGCAGGATGAAAATAAACTAGTGATGCTATGTCCATACATAGTAGACCTAGATAGGGTCTCTCAAAGGCCCGTCACTCTGCTCTATATAACCAGAGCAAGTTGCCCGTAAAGCAGAGGAGATATCACCAAATTTTGTCGGGATGCCACGGAAAGAGACCTTGATGTCCGCACATGGAGCCTTATATAATGACAACGAGAGATAGATCAAATTCAAGGGCAGTCTCTAACAGATTCCAAATATTGCATTTGAACTGGTGATAAATGCCATAGAGGAAAGTTCTGCGCATGTTTTGATTTTTCCTACCTGGGTTAGACCTGATAGCCTCTTTCTTATTGGTCAAACTACCTTTAGAGTTGCTTAGTAAGATTACATGGATTAACATTGTTCCATAGGTCTCGTGACTACACTGATTAATCTCTTGAAGTAGAAAAGAAGAGAAAACATGTAAAACGACATGAAGCCGGTGAGAAATCGATCATTCTCTCGAGACAAACTAGCGAGAGTCATGCTGGTTCACGCCGTGATACTTTTAACATCCTCGCGGCCCCCGAAGCGACACTTCCACCACTCAGGAAAGCCTTTTGGCCTGTGAAGGATGGTTTATATAAGCATTATTCAACGGAACTATATTCTTCCATAGCAAGGACGCCCTCTGATTGGTCAGATTTGTCCATCTGAGCTTGCCCCGAGATCAACCTTTTTTTTTTTTGTTGTTCCTGAAGTCGCTGCATGATGATTATGATGGCTATGATGGTGATTATGGAGATGTCGAGGATGCAGGGCATGATGAGGCTGTAAACCACCAACCGCCCACCACCCCTGGTTTACAGAAGGTACATAGCCCATTTAATAACTGTCGCCGCCCGCATCTTCCTCTGCGGTTGTTTAAACCCTCCCTCCCGCCCGAAGCTCCCTCTCTATCTATCACCGCTCAACAGAAACCAACGTCGATCCCCTAAAGAAAGAACCTACACAAAAAGAACAACCCCCTGTATATATATATACACCGCTCACGACACACACAAACCTTTCCCACACGTATAATCACACTCTCTTACAATTTGCAATTCACCCTCTTCCTCTGCAAAGGGAACTCTCACATGAATGCCAATCCGATGACTGCCGTTGCCCCTGTGCCGGCGGGCACCTTTATGTCCGGTACCAAGGTACAGGTGGGAAGCCACCGAGTCGTGGTAGAGAAATATCTTTCCGAAGGAGGATTCGCCCATGTCTACGTCGTTCGCCTTCCGAGGCCCGTCGATGGGGTCGAGACCGCGGTTTTGAAACGGGTGGCCGTCCCGGACAAGGCATCGTTGGCCAACATGAGGACGGAGGTGGAAACAATGAAGAGGCTGAAGGGCCACAAACACATCGTCACATACATCGATTCACACGCCTCACAGCTCAAAGGAGGAGGATACGAGGTCTTCTTGCTCATGGAGCACTGTGCTGGTGGCGGCCTGATCGACTTCATGAACACCAGGCTACAGAATCGGTTGACAGAACCTGAGATTTTGAAGATATTCGGTGATGTCACCGAGGGTGTCGCCTGTATGCATTACCTGAAGCCTCCACTGCTGCACAGGGACCTCAAAGTTGAAAATATCCTGATCTCCGGGAACGGTCCGGCCCGCTGCTACAAGCTCTGTGATTTCGGCTCTGCTGCTCCCCCAAGACCTGCAGCTACCTCCGCAGCCGAGGGTAGGCTGATCGAGGACGATGTGCAGAGGCACACTACTCTGCAGTATCGAAGCCCGGAAATGATAGACGTTTATCGAAAACAGCCCATCGACGAGAAGAGCGACATCTGGGCTCTCGGTATCCTATTGTACAAGCTATGCTACTATACCACCCCTTTCGACGAGGCCGGCCAGATGGCTATTTTGAACGCAAAGTTCAAGTATCCAGCCTACCCTCCTTTTTCAGACAGATTAAAACTCTTGATAGGTACGGGTGTACTCCCCATTTTTCTATCGAAAGTAGCTCTCAAAACTAATCCGCAATGCACTTTTATTAGCCACCATGCTCAAAGAACATCCAAAAGAACGGCCAAACATCTACCAGGTCTTGCGTGAAACCTGTCGTATGCGAGGGAAAGAGGTCCCTATTCGAGATGTACGCATCTATTCCGGCTTCAACTCTTTACAATCCCAAACTAATCCTGTTTCTCTCCCCCTACATAGATTTACTCCAGCCGTTCCCAATCCGAATCTAGACGAAATCAACAACTACCCTCTTCCCCTCCAGTAGAAGCACCAAAAGTCGGAGCTACATTCACTCCTCCCATTCAGGAAACCAAGATTATCCCAGATATTGCGCCGATGAGGAGAGGTCGGCCGACAAAGCCTAGCGACCAGAATGTTGCCTCTAAGCCCAGCTCATCCCCCCTCAGAACTTCTGGCGACCCATTTGCGGCGCTTGATGGCACTAAGCGGAATTCCAACTCCGATGAGCTGTCCGCGCGATTCCCGACCCTAGATCAGTTCTCCCTTCTCCATGAAAAGGGTGGAACTTTCAACTTCGAATCCACGGCTGCAGAGGCCCCTCCTAACCCGGATGAACTATCCAAGAGAGTCACAAACGCCCTTGCTGACGAGGCGTTTTCGAAGCCCATAACATCTCCACAACCCAGTCCGACGCTTGGAGGAGCTCATACGACAAACCGAGGAGATCCGTTACCGGATAAAAAGACAGTTCCATCACCATACCTAAGAGCGGAACCCCCTCGACAACAAGTCCCTATACAGCAGCCAATACCTCAAAAACCAATCATGGTATCTACTGGGACCATGACCTCTCCATCACCTGTTAGTCAATGCCCAGAGAGTCCTTCGTTCTCCCAACGACCAGTGGGGAGTCAGAGTATAAAGAGTGGAAACAGGTCTATAAAGAAGCAACAGTGAGCTTGTTTAATCGGCAAGAAAAGATTGTGGCAGCTTATCGACTCGAGCCAGTTTTACCAGATTTGACTCCAAACCAATTCAACCTGAAGAGCTTCCTAGGTCACCAGCATCCTCACGGCCATCTTTGGAAGGGACGCGGCCCACGGCTTCTGATCTTACCGACCCGCTAACTCGTTCAAAATCTGCGAACTCGAAATCTCGGCCTTCTGCTGCATATGCGGGATCGAGATTAGACTACCTTAGAGATAGAGGGCGGGAACGCTCGTCTGAGGAAGAAGAAACATTCTTACGTCCATCTCTCACAGATCAAGACCGCGACTATAGCCAGCCGTCCAACATGTCCGACGTCGATTTCTTACGAGCCAAAGAGGAAGAGGAAATGAGCCGGAAACGTGAAAAGCGGCTAAGTGGTGGTGCTAAACATACAAAACGAGGTAGCCTGTCTTCACTATCATTGTCAGGAACCAAGACCCTCCTTGCAGGGCGCTTCGGGGATGCATTCCGCCGCTTTGAAAATAACGCCCCTCAGGACAGAAACCAGTCTCCATCACCCGAAAATGACACTCAACATCTTACCCCCATTACCGGCTCTGAATTAACAGATATGAGCGATGATGGCCGTGCGTATGACGGTGTCGATGCTGACGACATATCTGCCGAAATGCGCCGGGAAATGGAACGACGTCGTTTGTCCATGGAGGAAAGGAGAGTTGCAGAGGCTGCTGCCCAGTATCGCTCACAATTAAATGAGCGAGAAGACGGAAGCTCCTCAAGACCAGCAGGATTGGGGATAGGAGGCAGTGGTCGAGCAGCTGCCATTGAAAACAAGGTACAATCTCTATTAAAGGAAACGGAGAAGGCACCACCTGTCAAAACAGCTTCAGGATATGGGAGATATACGGACTCGGTACCTGCAACGCAGACGAAACGATTTGAAACTTCACTGCCAGAAAGACCAACGTCTACGCAGTGGTTCCCACCAGCCTCTGGACCTTCACATACACCCGATTTCTGTCCTCAGCCATCCTCAAAGGATAGCGATTTTCCATCTTCTGGCCTAAAATATAATACGGGCCAGCACCAGGCTTCTTCTGCTGCCGCACGCCCAGCCCAACGCCCCGTAGCACCCCCAAAGCCTAAGAGTTTACGAACTAATGTCCAAACTGCCAATCAAACCGGTAACACCGACTACAGTCACTCCCAACATCCACGTCCTACCAGGCAAGCGAATGCTACACCAGGAAACCCCGCGGAAGACTGGGAGCAAAACTTCAGCCGCCGATACCCCAGCCTCTCCGGGCTTGAACTAGTCGAGACAGAAATCGATATCCCAAAAACTTCATTAGGCCGTACCACAGCTACGACTACGAGCAAGGGACTCTGATTAACTCCTCTTTCCACCCAGGCTACGAACCGTCTATGCTTTTGAATACCATAATCTCATGAACATAAACCCAGCATTTCGCTATACCCCCTCGCATATAGAAGCAGGCAGCCTAGTATATCGCATCTCTGGGCCTTTGGTCGGTTTATTCCCTATCAACCATGCCGTCTATATAATGGAGCACGGGCGTCTTTCTACTTTCTTTTGTTATCCCTCTTTCCCTCTTCTTTTTGGCTGTGATGCTGAGATGATGAACGATATGACGTGGCCTTGATGTTCCAATGTCAACATGGACAGTGTTTGATTGCATTGTAGCAGTGCCCTTTATCTTTCACTTATTTATTTCCTATTTCCCCGTTTCCCGACGTTGCTGTAGCATTCAAGCTGCAGTTTAGAGATCCTTGTGCGTACTATATACGGAGAGTTGATGATATAGAAAAAGTATCAGCTAGTTGCCTTGGTAGGCTACATAGTTCAACAGATGAATAGGAATATGTTCTAATATGAAGGAAGCCCTTCGGCGACCATCCCATTCGAATGTTTCTCTATTTACTTCTTTTCCCCCTTCCTGTTTCAAGATATGGTAGAAGGAAGAAGAGCAACTAAAACATTCACTGACACATCGTATGTATGAAAATAGAATGCAATCCTCTTGCCATAAAACAAAAACACAAGCTGAGCAGAGAGCTGAAGTAAAGCATGTCGGAGGATCAAAATACATATTAAAAATTAAAAAAAAAAAAAAAGGAACAACGCAAGCTGCTAAAACATATAAAAACACAGCGAGCACAACGCAATGACAATTTCTACTAGCAAGCACACCCTTCCTTTGCACCAACCTGCCCTCTATCTCGTAGGTTGATCCTCGAGTCATCTCCCGACCGTGTACCGGCACCAAGTCCAGTACTGCCAGCTGCTCCACTCGCACCGGCACCGCCCCTCGAACTCTTTAGGCTCGCTTCGGGGATTGCGTTTGCAATGGCAGTGAACACCTCCGCGACGTTGAAACCAGTCTTGGCGCTCGTTTCGAAGAACAGTAGACCCTCCGCTTCAGAGTATGCGCTGGCCTCTTGTGTAGAGACTTTTCTCGCGTCACCGCTTGGAGATCCATCTTGCTCGTCATCCTGTTCGTCGTTTCCGTTGTTGGTGCCTGGAGTCTCTCCTTCATCACCTTCGTTGGTGCCATCCGGAGTCCGGGGGGAATCCCTGGCGGCCGCGGATGTGCCATCACTACTTGTCAGATCAAGCTTGTTACCGACCAAGGCAATGACGATTCCGGGACTTGCTTGTCGCTGAAGTTCGGCAACCCAGTGCTTGGCCTTGACCAGGGAAGATGGTTTGGTGAGGTCGTATACGACGAGGGCGGCTTGGGCGTTTCGGTAGTACATGGGAGCGAGAGATGCGAAACGTTCTTGGCCGGCGGTATCCCATATCTCGAACTTGATTGTACGGGTGGGCAGAGAACATTTTTGGGTCAAGAAAGCGGCTGTCATGGGCAGGAGTCAGACCAGGCAACACCTTTTGTTATGCTAAAGGATATCTCAGATGGTCTGCTTACCTCCGATGGTAGGCTCCTTATTCTCTTGGAAGTCGTTGTTTACAAATCGTAGGACGAGAGAAGACTATATCGAAGGGTTAAATGTTAGCCGGTATGAATGAAGCAAACTACCTTGCGAAAAGCAATATGGCATTAGGAAGTAGACGGAGAAGCGCACCTTTCCAACGGCTGCTTCGCCGAGTAGAACCAGCTTGACGCTGCTACTGGGCTTTGGGCCGGGTGTCGAGCTTGCATCCGCCATCGTTTTGGTCCGTATCGTCCTGGGATGAAGGTTGGCGTTGTAGTCTTAACGTCAACTCGGTCAAGAACTAGATTCCCCAAGGTAAAGGGATGAAATAGGTTTCTGGTCGACTCTGGTATAGAATGGTCGGTATATATATTCCCGTCACAGACACAGGCACAGAAACAGCTCTAGCTAGCGGGTTTGTCTATATGTATCGAGTCGATAAGATAAAAAAAAAGGTGATGAAGCAGAAAGACGAACAAGAAACTTGCATCTTTCGAGGTTCGACTTTGAAGTTGATGACGATGTTCGCCCGATCAGGTTTAGCGCCGGATGACACTCGGCGTCAAAAAATTATCAAAAGAAAAATACAGGCAGAGAAATGACAAGAATGAGCGAAGATAAGTGATGATCGATACGTATAGTTCTGTCTACCTATGCTATGTCTAGTGCGACTCGACTGTCAAAAGGAAAAAGGTAAAGAAAAAAGAGAAAACGGTCTATCCGGTCCATCTATCCCAAAACATCCAGAAAGAGAGAGCATCAGGGGGGGAAACGCAGAGAGCCAAACAAAAAGCACACAAGCAGTCGCGATAGGGGAGTATCTTGGGAAAGGAACGAGAAACGGAAGGATGCGTAACAGGCTGACTAGGAGAATATAAAGAGGTCACTAAAATTTGATATTAGAGGGAAATCCAGCCCGGGAAATAAAAGTACATCGTGAGTCGAAGTGAAAAGGAAATGGGTTATTAAACGGTGGTAAGTGGTGCTTTAGTGTAAAAAAAAAAGTGCACTGGTCGTAAAGGCATTTCTTCAGCAAAACAAAGTAATGTCAAGGCGGCGCAGAATTCATGAAAGATGAGAATGCAACATCCTGCGACGCCATCCGAAGCGTACGGAAGAACAAAGAGGTGTCTGGCCACAGGGAAACAAACGGATTTGGCTTTCCCTTGGTTGGTTTTTAAACGCCTCTTGCTATCCGTTAGCTCCCGAGCTGGTGCGGCAAGGCGCTTGATGGGTGGAATTGGGCGGGATGAGCCGAAAGGATGTGCCAGGGCAAGCAAGAAGCCGGCGGAACGGAGAAAGGGATGGAAAATGGAAAAGGAGTAGGAAATGACTGCGAAGTCAAAAGTCTAGATCTCAATGGTATAACCCCCCGGAGAACAAAAAAGGACTGAACAATCAAAATAGGAAAAAAATATCAGTTGTCGCCAATTCTATCCCATCCGTCTATAAGATTAACGCCAAACGGAAAGAGACCCAAGAGAGGAAAAGCCATTTTTTGAGGGGACAAAGGAAAAAGACGACAGGGATGTTGAAGGTATGGGAAAGGCGATTTGATATTGTTGGGGACCAGGTGGTAAGTGATCGGATGAACTTGTCTGGCCGAGTGGTTGGAGGAGCTAAAGGAGCCAATGGAACTATGCATAGCGTAGGTTGATGTATCGGGAGGAAGCCGGACGAATCGGTATAAAGCAGGTCGACAAGGGAGGCTGGACTGTCTAGTTGGACGGCTTGACCTTTAAATATCAACCGGAGGGTTTGTATTGCACAGCCCGATAACAAAGAGTAAAGTCCCAGGAAATAAGGGTGATAATTCCCTTGTTTGTTAGTTGACCCCATGTCCATGCAAAATGTTGGGTGTTGGTAGCCGCCAGGACGGTAAGAAGTTTTTCTTTTCTTTCTCATCTTTCGGGCCAATCACCGCCTGTCACAATATCGTGTCGTTTTTCCCCATTCCTTCTTCCACCCAGATAGGAGAGTGAGAGAGAAATGGAAAAAATGAGAGGGAAAAAAAAACAGGGATGGTCGGATGTACGAAACAATCGTACAGAAGGAGAGGCGTTGAGAAGGGTCGAGTATTAAAAAATGATGTAGAACAGAACATATGCGTCGAGAGCAGGAAATGGTTGAGATATCAGAAAGATCGTCTTCTAGAGGTGACATGTTACCGCTTGGGAGGCGGCTGGGGCTTTGGTACGCCAGTTGTGTCATAAGCACCCCTTCCCATGTTTGTAGCAGAGAGATCCCTGACAATCATTGTGTTGACCTAATATCCGTCAGTCACCTCAGCCCAGAAGGGGATATATATATATATGTACGTATACATGCATGCACCGTCCAGGATGCTCACAGCCTCACAAGGATCGGATCCTGCCATACCTCGGCCAGAGCACAAGGAAAAGGAAGATGCATACAAAGTACGTATATAAGAAAATGTAATAGAATGACTAACCTGAGATTCCGCGTAAAGCTGACCGATGATTGCAGACCTGCGGCACTCGCCGGGGGAACTCTGAGATATATCCCAAAAGGTCCCTGGAGATTGGTCCTGGGTAACGTTTCAAGTCCTCGTAGCTACTCCGGGTATTGAAGTAGCTTGGTTCGTGTTAATCCTTGGTCAATAAAAAGGCAAAAAAAATATTCCAAAATCCGAATTAACCAAGTGCTGAATGCGTCAAAAAGGAGGGTATAGAAGGCGGTTGGCGTTTCTCGTGTCTTTTATTTTAAGGAAGATGACTGTAGTTGGTCTTCCAAGAAGATGTTCAGGACAGTATTCAGTTATTGTTAGCTCCTTCGTTAGGGACGTTGGCCGGCGATGAGACAAAGTAGGCGTATAGGCGTGGTTGGTTATAGATAGCCCAAGGGGAGAGATTAAGGTAAAGTAGAGAGGTAGAGTAGATGGACTTTGCCAGCGAAGGAGTGAATACGCTTGAAAAGAGTAAAATGATAGAAGAAGAATAAAAAGAGAGGAAGAGAAGGAAGAGCAGCGTCTCATATACTAATACATTTTCTCTGGAGAAAGCTCCCAGTTTGAAAAAAAAAAAAAAAAAAATGAAATAATAAAAAATGGCTTATAATAAAACAGCTATTAAGAAAAGAAAAGAAAAAGAAAAAGAAAATAAAAATAAAAACCCCCTTTCAACAAAAACCGTAATATGAGAGAGAGTGTGAAGACGCCCTTGTAAGTTCTCTAGCTCCATCGTTTTTTTTTCTCGTTGCCCTTATTTTTCTTTGCTTTTTTCTTATTCTTTTTTTTTTTGCTAACCTTCTCCTTAGATTGCAAATTGGCCGCTTCTTTGCTTTTTCAGTCTGGCTTCTCTTTTTCTTCTCTTTGTGCTGCCTTGGGAAGAAAAGAAAAGAAGCAGCAGCAGCAACAGTGAGAGAGAGCAGAGAAAGGACGAAAAAGCAACTACACGGGAGGCAATGAACCAAACTACGGGCAACATCCCATCCGTCAATGATCATTGGAAACTCGTTTCTCTTCGCCATCTCCTTCATCTCTGCCGCGTATAGAGTCAGTCACGAACGCCATCAAGATGGAAGAAGAAAAGCTTTTGTGATGAGCTTTCGCTGCAGCCTAAAAAAAACACCACATAATAATAAAATAGCAACAAGAATAAATCGATACAAAAGGTGAAATTACCAAAAAAAAAAAAAAAAAAGGATGAAAATGTGAAATTGCAAAAAGGGACGATGAAACACGACTGTTCCGACAAAACGATGCTGGCTGGCGCAAGGGTTTTGAGATAAGTCTTGAACATGCAGGTTTTCTCAGCTCCATGATAGGCTCTATCAAGCAGGATTTATATTATGTACATTTACAAAAAAAGAGACGAATAGGACGTGTGCAGCGGTTACTGGAATTGTGCCTTGCCTTGCTGCATCTCTACCTTACCGGCGGGTTCGGTTCAAGGAGCAAAAGAAAGGTCTCGCAACGCCCAGGTCAGGATTCAAATGTCGTTACCGAAATAATAAACTGGGAGAGCAGGTTTCATCGAGACGGACGGACGACGGAAGAGTCATGCTGGCTTGCGTTCGTCAGCCCTTTCAACCGCGGGTTTCTAGACCCGCAGCCAGTGGCAGCCCTGGGAAGAGCTCACGCGAGTGAGGCAAGGAAGACAGCTGCTAGATGGAGTTGCTCAACAGCTGCTTTAGAGGCCGAAGTGGATATGAGTATGGGAAAGGGGTCCCTGTCAGAGTCTCTTTTTTCTTCTCGACCCTTGGTTCTGGTGCTGGGAGAGAGTTGAAAAAAAAAAGAAGCTTCCAAAACCACTGGGAAGGGAGCATACATTGTATATTCTATAGAGAGCATATAATTGGTCTTGCTCCACTGGATCCCACGCGCTTCTTTTTCCCCCTGGCGACTTAAGTTAGTTCTATGGTTTCAAAAAAGGGTCAACTTGTTTCGGGAGGGATTACGCCGTCAAGAGCAGGCAAACCAGTCTTACGACCAAGGGCGACTAGGTATACCTACAACTCGGACCACACACAAAGGAAGAACAGGTTTGTGGGCAAAACGATGCGAACAGGATTTTATATTCGCCCTAGAAATTCCATGGCGCCTCGTCTGTCCGTTGCGGCTGCAGCAGTTGCAGCCACACCTTGAGCTCTCGCTTCCTTCAACCAGGGATGTTTACAACAAGAGGGCAGGCACATAGCAATTATGTCCCAGCCCAGATGAGGATTATATAGCCGGATTGTGCACCTGTACCCGTACAGAGAGGCTAGAGGCTTGTGAGTGTGGCGGAAGGGGCACAACAGGTTATTATATACGGCAACATTCATATTCAACCGCGGGAAGGGTAGCGATCAATCATACCGCTTCACGCCGATCTCCTGACGGATCACGTCAAAGAAATCCGATATATCATCTCGTCTCGAAGAACTATCAGACCTGCTTCTAGCCACTCGACAAGTAATTTGCATGGGCGCTACTCCGTATTCTACTTTCTCTCCCCCCTCTCCACCTTTGTACGCGGATGGGAGAAAGAGAAAAACGAAACAGAAGGTCTAGAAGTCTCAAAGTCTAGAAGCTGGCTTGCCGCAACTAGCTAATCCCGCCGGCTTCCATTTCGTTCTTTTCAATTTGGATCAACCAGCAAACGGCTAGTTCTTGCTCAACCTAATCTCTGGGTTCCCCGTTCAACTGTCGATGGAGTCGATAGTCCTAGCTAGGCGTGCTTGAAAATGGGCCAGAATCTTAAGAACTTCTTCATGCTCGTTGCTAGCCTGGCACAGAGCATGTACCACGATTGGCGTATGTAGGGGCTACGGACTATGGAGTAACACGTCCACCTATCAATGCATGATAGGGTGATGGCCTCCATTCTTAAAATCTTTTTTTATTATTTTCATTTTCTTTTTTTTTTTCTCTTCTAAGTTACAGCTACTGCAGCGGGATAGTTAGCCACTCAACAGCTATCCAATCCAGAAATTCTGTGCTGTGACGGTTGGGACGAACTGTACAGAGAGTTAAGGTACTATTGGGGATTAGACAGAGCTGAGGATCCTGCAGAAGATCTCTAAACACGGCGGATACTGACACATTTTCTACCAATGCTGCTATGGTACACTTTGACATATTTTACCATGCATAAGGGCTTGCAAGATAAACTTGGTCAAGATCGAAATCCTTGCTTCCCATAACCCAGCATCAGACACGCCTGAGACGCGTTTCTTTATTTTATTTTTTTTTCCCGTCTATCGGTAATTTATTCCTGAACGGCTTAATGACGCCGTCGCCGTTGGAAGCGGCACCACACAAACGGGTTTAACATCCAACTGTTTGAGAACGGGAAAAACTGCTTTCTTCTTGGAGTGCCGACGATTCCAACAAATCTATCGATGTTAACATTGAAGTGCTGGGAATGGGGGCTATGCAGGAACGGAACATGGCCCCCCCCTTGTGAATATAACCACCGGAATATGTACATGAGCGGGCCCGCTGCGGTAGTGTAACGGCTCGATGGCAACTCCGCCCGCTTTATACTACATGTGTCATAGTCCCGTCTGTCTCCCAGGCCATCACTATCCACCTGTTAAATTTTTTTAGCTTACAGCTAACGAGAACCCCAGAGCCCTGCCGATTGACGGTACCCTTTTTTTTCCCTTGAGCATCCCTGAACACTCCCAAGGAATACGAATGGTGTGAAATTACGTCTGCCTGGACCAAGTTATGAGTCGTTCGTGTCCCTCGGTCAGACGCAGCGCTAGGTCTGTATCATCATCGTCCATCTTAGTAAATCTCATCTTAATGAGTGATGTACACGTGGATGTTGCATAAACTCTTTCCTGCCATGGTCTGACTTGATATTTATCTCAATTTGCTGTATTTATTCATTTCAGGTAAGCCATTTTTATAATAATGTATGGATATATACTTCGAAACCTCGCCTCTTCTATCATGATGCGATGCTAATCTTCCCCACAAGGCTCATCATTTATCGTCTGTTATAGACGCCGAGTGTGGGCCTCCTAGAACATGAACGCGGCATGAGAGAAGGTAAAAAAAAGGGGAGCAAGGGGAGGAAGCCAGATTCACGAGTGTGACGGGTTTCTGTTTCTTCGGGTACGAGAACGAGCCTGACTTCGTACTCTCCTGCGTAAAGGAATATGAATTCCTCCTTGTCCCTGTGAAATAGGATGGATGAGAAGGTAGGCCTATAGTTGGCTGTTCTACTATCCGTATGCATGGTAACATTCCAGAATTTCGATTAGGGCTTACAGGCGGGCATCCGGATAATCAAGCCGTTCGTGGCTATGAGCGGATTTTTATCCGCATCCGGGGAGGCTTTCAATCTCTCTTCATCCTTCTTGCAGGTACATATTACGAACAATTAGAAAATACAAAAATCCCTCTAGTGGTAAACGCCGCTAGAAAGTGCTGGAAGATGCAGAAAAGCGCCAGGTCCGGAAATTGACTCAAGAAAATGTCGCAAAGGGCACAAATAACATCCAATTTATGAGCATGGCTGTGGAGATCCGCGTCTCGGGAGCTCCCCTCTCACCAACCACCCAGCCAACCGCTTCCGCTTGTCCAGCTCTTCCTGTCATCCCACGTTGCACGCCTGACGGGAAGCGGATCAATGGTGGGTATATTTTTTTCACGCGGAAAGGGGAAGGTATACTCACGTTATCCCCCCCTGCAATCGGCCCTGCAATCGTGGGATGCAACGCAGTTCCTCCGTATGGGCGCAACGGCCGGGCGACTACACATACGTACTACATACACTATGTGTAAGCCCACTAGTTCCGTTTTTGTGCCTTCGCTCCGGCCCAAAAGCCAACGTTCAAGCCTTCAAGATCATGGTTGTATCTTTTTTACCACTGCATCAAATTGATCCCCCTCTCTATGTTCCTTCAGCTTCCTTGTGTGGTGTGAGAAGGCGTGGAAGATTTTCTTTTCTTTTTTTTTTCCTTTTTTCTTCTTCCCTTCTCTCTTCACTCGTTTTGCTTTTGGCTTGGTTTTGGTTTAACTAGAAGCAGACATCTTTTGCCTCTGGTATGGAATAGCGCGTCAATTGATGGACATTGGCCTCCACTTAACTCTTCACTAGGGCCATTCAACGAAATACCATCACCCAGGATTTTGGAACGGCTCTGGAATCCACATAGAAGGAGAGAAAGCCAAATTCACGCACTATACGAATGGGGTGGGCACTACTCATGTAGTATGGTGGTAGGACGAGCCGATCTGTGATCCTCGTTGGGGAGAAGAATCATGGCTCTACCAGACAGAAATTCTCCCCACGATCAGCGAGTGAGGACTTTTCTAGAAACTATCCCCTCCCCAACTTACCCCCATTTCAGAAGAGGGGGAAGAGGCGAGCACAAAGCCACACTGATTCTCAGGGACCTGTGCTCTCACCATCTCCTCCCTCTTTTTTTTGAGGGCGAGATGGGGGCGGTTGTGGATCAACTGGCGGCCCGAAAGTTGCGTATAAAAAAAGGGGGTCCCCTTTCCACGCAGCCGGCATCAACGTTGCCAGATTGGTGGATTCCGTACCTCGGTTTCATATTGGTTTCCTGTTCGCTATATTATTCCGTATTGGTAGGGCAGGTCGACACGAAGACATCGATTCGCCCCCTGTTAGTCCGTTGACTAACATATATATCAACAGCTCAGGTATTGATGTGGGCATTGAGAGGACAAGCCTGATTTTTGCAGAAAGAGCCTCACCTTCACGCCCAGACAGGCCAGACGTTGTGGCTTGCGAACCATCCTGGTCTGCTGAAGCCTGGCTTTTCTGCAAGGTACGTGTTTGAGCCTAAGCCAAACAAACGGCGAAGCTGCATCCTTTTAATCGGTGGTTGAGCAAACCACGTATTCACCAAGCACGATGGCTGGCTGCTGAGTTGTTCCTATCGAGATTGGCGTCAGTAAGGTTGCTCTGCGTTGGGCGAGAACATCCCTTATCAGCCAGTAACTCACTGTGAAGGTGCAGCCTCAACACCCACCGATCCCCTGCGGTCGTGCGTCCTAAGGCTTGGGGGGCCGTCCTATCGATATCGCAAATCAGACTGCCAGGTTGATGCCCAGTTGAAAGCCTCCCACCGCCATAAACACAGGCCACAGGAGGACCACCCAACTGCTTTGTGGCGGCGTATACATTAGCGCTTCCGACTCCCATGGACCTGAATGCTGGGTCCCCGGAGACAGCCATTGTTCGGTGTTTACATAGCCAACCAGCTCATTTTTGAAGACGCCTCGCTACAGCGTGCTTCCGCTGTTCTCCAATATCTCGTCCACCGGTAAGCCAATGGCTTGCGGAAGCCCACTTCCACGTAGTCAATGATCTGAGATGATCTCTCTTGACTGGTTTTTTCTCCCTTCCTATAGGACTAACCTCTGTGATTGCTTCGTATAGCTATGTGATCTCTGCAAGATGATCTACTAGCACATATCATAATAACGTCCAGCCTTGAATATGAATGCAGTCTAGAGTCCACTTTTATTCCTTCCCATTTTCCCTTTTTTTTTTACATAAATACTCCGTACTTAGTATATAAATATAGAGCATACACATGTATTAACACATAAATATTCTGTAAGTTATATATATATCCACCAGCTCCTCAGCGGCAGCGGAAGTGTGTATCCTTCCCGGCGGGTGGATAATCCCCAAGATCCAAGGAATAATGGATTCCAATCAACTGGAAACCGCGGAGCTGGTCCGAAACTGTAAGAAAAAAAAGAGTCCTAAAAGTTTCTTTTTCCCTGAATATCTGCTTTCTTCGTCCCTCCTTTTCGAGAGTTGAGGCAGCAGATCTTGTTGCTTTGCCTCGCGTCTCGAATGCTGTGATTCGGAGTTCAGAGAATATATCAAAGATGACGCATCTCATCTGTGACTGGTTCTAATTTCCGTTCAGGGCATACTTCCACTTGAAAAGAGCATTATTATGACATCAGATGGAGCGTGTGGTTGTATCATTTTCTTTCCTTCTTCCCCTATCAGCCCTTGAAAAGGCCGGAAAGAAACTTGTTTCCCTTTTATGTCCTTCCACCTTTTTCTTTTTCATCCATATAAATCTCTTGCTGGAGGACTATTAATATATGTGTACGATTTTACGTCAACTAGACAAAGAATCCCATCAGGGGGAAGAAAAGACCGAGAGCAAATGAGACTAACACCTTTCATTAACCCTCGTCTCATTGGTCATTTATACGTATATTATGGTTATTGTTTTCTGAGAATAGGTTGATCAAAATACCAGTCTTTGAGCCGGTTCAGTCGTCTCATTTAAGAGTGAGAGTCATGGTATTAAGATGAGATCAGATAAGTGTACGGAGTACTGACATTGCAACCTATTCGTTTAGCATGGCTTTCTAGTTGTCCACATATTCACATTATTATTTTGACAACTCAGCTGGTCGTCCTGGTCCAACCGCGAGATACACTACTAGAGCTGGAAATCGAGTAAGATGACGAGTGGTATACATTTTATCCAGAATTCTCAAGGCATTTCAGTGCCAGACAAGAGGGCCCAGTCGATGCAACAATCATCGTACATATACATAGCCATACCGAGTTTCCCTAAAAGGCATCTTCTGTTCCCATAGATCTTTTAATAAAAAGCTGTTCAAGGCTTGAGGCTCATTATGATAAAGGGAAACGGCCCCGCCCCGAATGTGTGATTGATATTACACGTCAAGCTTCTAGCATTAATCATACCTTACTCGTCATACCCTGATATACTGGCATTCTGGCCCCTCGACGTTGCAGAAAGAGCAAACAGACATATATACAAACGTCTCCCTGCGCCTAGGCTTAGCGAATAAATAAACGCGACACGGCATAGGTCTTATATCTAGGTGTCTGCTCTTACATATCCTCATGCAGACGCTAAAGGGCAACTCATTGTTCTTCTTTATTGATATTCTTGAGTTTCCTCTTCATCCAACAAAGACTAGTACTTTAAAATAAGCTTATTGAGTTAGTACCTTAAATGTTCGCTGTTTAGCATTGTGATTACATGCTATATATGGAGCAAGATATTTATATGTGCTAAAGAATTGCCTACTTTTTAGATGCACCAATACCTTTGGCTCTACTAAAGAGGTCCCGCATGTTCATGCAAGGTACTGTAGATGCAGGCTCATGCTTTTTTTTTTTTTTTTTCAAATTAAGCACCCCAAGCCAAAGAAACCCATCCTCACACTACCTGTAGTCACTAACTTGGATTTCGAAACCACATTCAGCTTTAATGCAAGATAGCTACAGATCTGCAACTAGAATTAATGATAAGCGAATTACGTCCAGTACAAAGGATCACTTGAAAATATTCAAGGCAGAGTTCCAGAGTCTGCCCTCCAGCTCCGGCTAAGGCGCCAGTTGCGATGGATCGTAACCGGAATCGAAGTCTGCGTGTTCCGCGGCAACCGTTAAGAGATATCTGCTGGTAAAAAAGGAACATTCTCGGATCATGAAACCGAAGAGCCTAGAAAAAAAGAAAATGACTGGCAGAATACGTTTGCTGAGGCTAATTGGTTTTGATTTTAAGGAACAGAAGAAAGCCGTTAGTTTGTTATCAAGAGCTCGACAACGCAGGCCAACCACAACTCAGAGCCTTTCATAAGGCTAACCGCTGCTATTGGCAAGTGAAGAGAGAGCAACTCCCCTCGTGCCGGAAGTGAATTTCCGATTGATACAGCCAAATTAAAAATTGGTCCCATCGCCCTGTGTTGGCGAGAAATTCAGAAAAAGAAATCGAAGGGAGCATACGAATTACTTAACAACCTCCGGCTGCTCATTTGACAGTCCAGGGCTTGAGTTACACAGTGAAATACGGCGGCAATTAGGGTAGTATCGATTTGGTCTTTTGAAGTCAAGAATATCAAAGTCATGCCGATAAATTCTCCCGCCGCCAGAGCCGCCAGGCGTGAGGTATTCGCGGTTAGGAAATAAAACCGATCATAATCAGTCTGACTGTAGATTCGTTGGTTGCTCCTTTGGCGGGTTATTCATGCACTGATATGCCATTTCGAACTAAATCGCAAGACGTGTCAGCCTTAATATATCCACAAAAAGGAACGATCCCGTGTGGCCTGTTCCGAACGCAAAAATGACAAGGTCATGTTAAGGGGGTGTGAATGCGTCCTTACAGCTTCGTCCGTCCGGCAAATAAGGGCAACGGGCCGCTGACCCGAATTTTGAGAAATGTCTACCACTGTCTGATCCTCCTTAGAAACACCAATGGCATTTGCTTTATCATCTATAGTAACTCCGAGGCATCGGCATTTCTCTGCCACCTTACTCCTCAGCAAGGCACTTTGCTCACCGATACCCCCTGCAAACACTAGGGCATCTAAATTTCCATTCAGCTTGATAAAATAGTTGCCGATAAACCCAATAATACGGTCAACAAAGATGTCAAAGGCCAGCTTATGCATCTTACTTGGTGGATTGTCGGTTCCAATCTGTGAAAAGTCGGTGGTTCCAGTCAATGCCTTCCAGCCTGACTGCTTGTTAAGAATTTCTTCAGCCTATAGATGACTAGTCAGCGTACGAATATCACATTACCTTAAGAGTTGAATCATCTACAAAGCACATACCTTGCTAATGTGCATTTCTTTGGTGCTCGAGGAACTCAGCTTGCCGGCCTCAGATGTGTAATGGAATACAAGACTTAACGAGTCATTAGTAGGAGAACCATCCAGCCTGAATGACCAACTCACCTTGCATCGATGTCTCCGCTTCTGGTTGCACCGGGAAGCCCAGATAGCGGAGTGAGACCCATCCTGCAGTGCACAAATAAGTTATGACGTCTGGACTCGAGAGATAACTAGCAGATAACGGGAGCATGGAAACGGTTGCCAGAATGTGTTCAACTTACGTGGTTTCTATAGATTTACCACCTTGGATAGCACAAATAGATGCACCACTTCCCAGATGCAGTGCAATCATATTTATTCTCGAGGCTGACATCTTCATGAACTCCGATACAGATCGCAGGATGAACGAGAAGCTAATCCCATGAAAGCCATATTTCCTCAACATCTTCGTCTTGGCTACGTCGGGGTTGATTGGGTATGTCTTTATATATTCTGGTAGGCTGTGATGGAAAGTGGTATCGAAATAGGCCACCGACTTTGCAGATGGAACCTCCTTGAGGCATGTCTTGATAATTTCCAATGCAGAGGTATTATGCCTGGGTCAGGTTAGCTACTGTGGTTCCCCTCGATAGCTACGGGTGAGATCGCACATACAACGGAGCTAGATCTTGCAGTGTCTCGAGATAGCTGAACGTCTTCTCATGAATGATAACCTCCCTTTCCAGGTCTCCTCCATGCACGACTCGGTGGCAAACATAGGCGTAGTCGACATTGCTGCTGACGGCCTGTAGCTCTTCGTCGTGCAGAAGCCTCTTCAGTATATATTTGAAAGCTTCCTGGGGGCTCTTGATCTCCTCTTCTATCTCGTGCTTCTGCTGGTTTGAGCCATGATTGTATTTGAAGATGCTCGGCGGCGCCGTCAGGCCACTAACACTCGCAGCTGCAACCTCTACCGGCGGATTCTTGAGATGGTAAACATTCACCTTGACGGACGAACTGCCGGCGTTGACGGAGAGAACAACTCGACCCATCTTGAGTATTTTCGACCGCTGGACTATCTAATGCTCTTTTCTACATGCTACATGATTTTTATCTGCTTCTACGCCAGAAAAATGGCTGCACGGGGGGTATCAGTCCTGCTTTTCCAACATTATGATGTCAACAAACGTATCAGTGCCGGTGACGTAGTTTGCCTGCTGTGTGCACCGTAAAAACAAGGACTCACAGGGCTCTATTTTATCTACTTTCCGACAATCCTCTCGAGGTTCAATTCATTTCTCCTCTGATAATACGGGATTCTGCACTGTTCTACATCCGTATCATTGCACATCTAGATCAAGATGCCTGGGGAAGTTATCGACCGGCCAAATCCAGGGCCACCTCCCTCTCATCTACCAGATTCGGTGGACGAGCTCATGGTCCGGCTGCAAACGGTCAAGCTGGATGACAATGTCCGTCGATCTTTGGAGAAGTTTCGCAGAGTTACAGATTATATCGCTGCGGGTTAGTCCTCAATTTCAAGTACGACCGTTGGATTGTGGCTGACTATTGATATTGCACCAAAGCTATGATATTTCTTCGGAGTAATGCCTATTTGAAACGTCCAGTTAAGCGTGAAGATATCAAACCTCGACTACTAGGTACGCTGAAACATCTCGCCGCTTCTGCAAATATCAAAAAGATTTCACTTGTTGACAGGAGGAGTGGCAAGGCCATTGGGGAACCTGTCCTGGTCTGAATCTCGTGTATTCCCATCTTAATTACTTGATACGATGCCATGACTTGGACATGCTGTTTGTCACTGGGCCTGGACATGGCGCACCTGCGATCCTCGCCTCACTCTGGGTTGAAGGGTCATTGGGAAAGTTTTACCCTAAATACGCCAACGACACCAGTGGGCTCACGAGATTGATCACCCAGTTCAGCACAACTGGCGGATTTCCTAGGTGAGATGACAATATTCAAGCCACAGACCTCCCCGTATTGCGGATGTTAATCCATTTTTGCCAAATACTAACACAATCTCTGCAAGCCATATCAATGCGGAGACACCCGGAGCAATACATGAGGGTGGCGAACTTGGATATGCTCTGGCAGTCTCGTTTGGGTCCGTAATGGATAACCCACACCTGATAACGGCTGTTGTAGTGGGCGATGGTGAGGCCGAGAGCGGCCCGTGTACAGCGTCAGTGGATCTAGAAACAGCCCGCTTGTGTCCCCAGTTATTTTGTATAATATGTTTTGCTAATTTGCAAGCAGGAGTTGGAATGGTATCAAATACATCGATCCCGCAGAATCAGGGGCTGTCTTACCCATTCTACATCTCAATGGATTTAAGATTAGCGAGCGGACTATCTATGGGTGTATGGATGACAGAGAACTTGTGTCCCTATTTTCTGGTTTCGGCTACCAGACACGAATCGTGGAAGGCTTGGATGATATTGATACCAATCTGAATAACTCGCTAGAATGGGCACTAGCGGGAATCCGTAGGATCCAAAAGGCCGCCCGGTCTGGAAGTCCAATCATGAAACCCCGGTGGCCAATGTTGATCTTGCGGACCCCCAAGGTTAGTACCATCCTCTATAAGATGCCGAAAGGTGGGATGTCTAACGCTTTTATTCGTAGGGTTGGACAGGTCCAAAGAGTATCCATGGAAAGATCATTGAGGGTTCTTTCGCGGCTCATCAAGTGCCGCTTCCTGAAGCAGGAGAGGATGACGACGAGCTCCAAGCATTACAAGCATGGCTTTCTTCATATAATCCCGAAGAATTATTCAATGAGCACGGAGACGTAATCGATGACATTAAATCGATCCTCCCCAGGGAAGACTCAAAACGGATGGGCCAACGGAAAGAGGTGTGTGATTCTTTTGACAAACTCAAAATGCCGGATTGGAGGTGTTACACAGTCTCAAAGGGGTCTCAAGAAAGCTCCATGAAAACGATCTCGCATTTCCTCGGTCAGATCCTTGTGGACAACCCTCATTCGATGCGAATTTTCTCGCCTGATGAGCTGGAGAGTAATAAGCTAGGTGCCGTATTGGAGAAGACGGGCCGAAACTTTCAATGGGATCAGTATTCTAACGCTCAGGGTGGGAGGGTGATTGAAGTGTTGAGTGAGCATATGTGCCAGGGTTTCCTCCAGGGATATACTTTGACAGGACGGACGGGCATATTCCCATCTTACGAGAGTTTCTTAGGGATCATCCATACAATGATGGTGCAATACTCTAAATTCAACAAAATGGTACGTTAGCCCCTTATCCATCTAGGCGGGATGCTTATAATGTACACAGGGAATGGAAACCAACTGGCGTCGCCCTTTACCTAGCATCAACTACATCGAGACCAGCACCTGGGCACGCCAGGAGCATAACGGGTTCTCTCACCAGAATCCCTCATTTATCTCCGCGGTTTTAAACCTGAAGCCAAACGCTGCGAGGGTTTATTTACCACCTGACGCAAATACATTCCTTTCAACGTTGTCTCATTGCTTGCAGTCAAAGAATTATGTTAATCTCATGATTGGGTCGAAGCAGCCAACTCAGATATATTTGAGTGCAGAGGAGGCAGAAAGCCATTGTCGAGCAGGAGGCTCAATCTGGGGCTTTGCAAGCACTGATGATGGTCTTGACCCGGACGTCGTACTGGTAGGCATTGGGACAGAAGTCACTTTCGAGGTTATCCACGCGGCGTCCATCCTGAAAAAGTTAATACCGGACCTACGCGTACGAGTGATTAATGTGACAGACCTGATGATCCTTGGGTCGGAGAGAAGCCATCCTCACTCCCTCTCGGATGAAACTTTCGACTCGCTGTTTACGGCAGAGCGTCCGATACATTTCAACTACCATGGATACGAAACAGAGCTCAAGGGTTTGCTTTTTGGCAGGCCTCGTGTTGATCGTATTAGCATAGCTTGTTACATGGAAGAGGGTTCTACCACCACCCCGTTTGACATGATGCTTTTAAATAGGGTATCACGATTCCATGTTGCCCAAGCAGCCGTGAGAGGAGGTTCTCTGCGCAATGAAAAGGTAAGAGTCCGACAGCATGAGCTCCTCACCACTTTAGACCATGAGATTCGAAGCGTAAGGAAGTATATCATGGAGAATCATAACGGTGAGTCCGTCTCCTTTAGTTATGTAGATTTGAAGCAGTCCACTGACAAGGTCTGCATGGCAGATCCCAGTGATTTGTACGACATGCCCAGTTTTAAGTGAGTTGTAAACCAAATGATAGCTTCTCGGGTAATGGTATCCAACAGTATTCTCTTTATGTAGCCTTCTTTCTATATAATATAATTCCTTTTCTTGATATCAAAATTGCGTTATCGTCCTCTTTCGTCTGCCCTATAAAGCACGTGACTTACTAACCCGATCGGTAAGCGAGGGTTTTGTCCCCACGAAAAGAGAGAGAAAAAAAAATCGTGACTTTCGCGAATTCCGAAGGTCGCAGCCAAATAAGTTCAAGCATCTTCAATTTCGACAACCACCACCGGCACCGCCAAACGAACGACGAGGGAGCAGCGAATCGACCGTCCCAACTCTCTTGAATTTGTCTGCCCACCATGGCTGCTAACAAGATCGCCCCTAACAGCCCTTCGAGGCAGAGCCCTTCCGACCTCGAGAAGTCTTTGGCTACCGCCCTTAATGACTTGGAGACCAACACCCCAGACCTCAAGGTCGCTCTGCGACCTCTCCAGTTCGTGTCTGCTCGCGAGGTAAGGGGAACAGTGTCCCTCTTTTTTCTCCCCCGTTCGGGATATATCTGGTGTTATTGGCGATTGTGGTGGTGCTGGTGCTTCTTGAAGCGCGGAGTTGAGCATTGTGGCCATATAAAAAGAGAGAGAAAGAAAATAATGCACCGGAGTGTTTATTGCGTAATATACGCCTGTATAAAGAATACTGGCGTGCTCTCTCTTGGATCTAGCATTTAATCTCTGCAATTTGGACAGCCACAGAGCTATACTCACCAGTTTTATGCCAAACCAATACTAACAGATGCTGGGAATACAGGTTGAGGTTGGCCATGGAAAGAAGGCCATTGTGATGTTTGTCCCAGTCCCCCTTCTCCAGGGATTCCACAAGATCCAGCAGCGGTACGCCTTTCGCATACATTCGGGAACTACGGCATATTTTGCTAACATATCATATCCAGCCTCACTCGGGAACTAGAGAAGAAATTCTCTGACCGTCAGGTCATCATCATTGCTTCCCGCCGCATTCTCCCCCGCCCCAAGCGATCCACCACCTCCCGCACCAGCCAGACCCAGAAGCGTCCACGCTCCCGTACCCTTACCGCCGTTCACGACGCTATACTCTCAGATATCGTATACCCAGTTGAGATTGTTGGCAAGCGTGTCCGAACAAAGGAAGACGGCAGCAAGTTGTTGAAGGTTGTTCTCCACGAGAAGGAGCGCGGTGGTGTTGATCACCGTCTTGACGCATATGGCGAGGTCTACCGAAAATTGACAGGTCGTGGTGTTACCTTTGAGTTCCCCCAGAGCGGTTCTTCGGAGTACTAGATATTTGGTGCGGGGCCAGTTCAATGAATTAAAGAAATGGAGATATGATGCGGTGCTGCCTCTTTTTCTCTCGTCTCCTACACTGGGAATAATACCCAATGAGGAATTCTCACAAAAACGTTGTACACCACTAAATATCGCTCTCCATTGAGTCGAGAGAGGCGTCGTTATTTGGAGGGAAAATAATACAAGTTTAACGACTCTCCCTATGTACGGAGCATTAAAACAGTTTGATGAAATCAATAATTCCCTAAATTCAAAATCAGCGGCATAACTGTAATGTATGCGTTTGAGCTTGCTTCTTGTTTGAATATGCTGTCTAGCATAGAGAGAACTGTGAGGCCTATTAATTTGGCCATGATGCGAATTCCTCCACCCGCACCCAGAGATAGAAGAAAACAAAAAAGGAACGGGGATGATACAAGAATGCAATAAAATATCTTGGTTCATTGTAGTATATCAGGGTATCAGGCAAGACAACAAACATGCCGTATTAACTGGGCTAAAGGGCTAAACAGAAGAGGCATCAAAAAGCATCTGACTTAATTCTCCCTATCCCAAGTGTCATCCAATATGCCAGCTCTCTTTTCACCGTCTCTGACTCCGTCTTCTTGGTATTTTCAGAACGGAATCCCAAGTCTTCGTTCCCACTGTCTGCGTCCCACTCAATTCTCACAAACACTGGAATTTCAACTACATCATGGTCCTCTTCATTTATATCTTGCTGGACTTGTTTGTTTTTGTTCTTGATAGCACCGGGAACAACTTCCATAGCAACAGTGGTCCAATTGCGCCCCTTATCCCATACTTTGCCTGCTTCAGCAACTTTTTCTACGCCATGTCGGGAGGACCTTGGATCAGGAATATTGCCTGATTGAAGGGCTTCGTCCCAAACATCCGTATTGGCGCCAACTTCAAGTTGAGGACAGAGAATTGTCACCTTTGTAGAAACTGGTCCGGGTGTCACAGATGGTGTTGCAAGGGTGACACGGATAGGGTCAAACATATGGTTCTTGAGAGTTAGAAGAAATTGAATTGGCTTTAGGGGCTCAAGGGCCTCCAAATTAATCGGAAGAGCAACTGAGGATGGGTAAAGAGGGCGAATGGAGGTGAGGGGCAGATAGCTGAGGGCAATAAGTCGGATGCGGAACCTAGTTGACTGGGGCTTCACTTCTGGTTTGACGAGGATATGCTTGCAAGCCTTGCATCGTTTAGATCTCTTTGTGCGTAGTAGGACCGGAAGTGGTAACAAGTCATCAACGAAGCGTGCGGAAGGTTGCTGGAACTGTCGTTGCTCCATAGATGCCAGTCCATCCCACCCTTCAGTGGCCATCTTTTCAATGATAGCGTCTGCGGATCCAGGAGCAGGTAGAACTAGCCCCTCCGCCTGCGTCAGAGCTTCGCGCATAACTGGGGGCTTAGATTTGTTTCTTTTATTATTGCCATGCATACTTCCAACACTAGTGTTGTAAAGGGACATAATACGGCTCAACGCATTTGGGGATGAGTATAACCCAAAGTCGCCTCCCATCAAGTGATCTGATGGTGATGATGACGTTTCAGCAATCTGAGTGCGATAGAAGCTCTTCAGGGCCATAAACCTGGCATCATGGCCAAGCGCAGGCTTGCTGTCAAAGGACATCGGACTTCCTAGTTTCTCATCTTGCTCCTCCTCAGGCAAGCTGGGTGTGGAGGCAAAGCTCGCGAGCGGTGATTTGAATTGTGAAAACCTGGCTTCTGATGGTCTTCTCATTTCCCCATTTCTTAGAGCTAACAACTGAGCGCGTATGTTGGTTGGCTTGTCGAATTTTATATCGATATCAAGGCTTGTCCACATGCAATAGCCGCAAGATAGGATCCATGGACCACTCTGAGAAGCTCCATTCTCCGTGTTACTCGTGGTCGTTACTGTCAATGGCGATGTGCAAATGGGACAATTGAAGCAGTTGCGCGCACATCTGAATTAAAAATGCTCTTAGTATCATATCTCCATTTTTCACAGGTGCATAGTGCGTACCTGTTACCCTCACTTCTTACCATGCTGCTCGGTGTCTCGAACAGACAATTGGGGCAATACCAACAAACTATCTCTTCTGTTATACACCTTGCGCATTTTATTTGATGGCAGTCTTCGCAGTATAGGAGGTGTTCTGGGGGGTATAGGGAGTAGTTTGCACGCCGTGACCTCGGGTCAAACGTTCGTTCATCTTCGTCCGAGTCTGGTGTCTTAAGGCTTAGGCTGGAGAGGTCTTTGGAGAGCCGATTTGAAGCTGGCGTAGGAGGTGGGCTTTCGGCGCAGGGGCATGATATGAAATTGTATGGAAAGGGGCGTGCCATCACGAGCGGAGTAGGACAAGCGGTATTATAGAATATATTTCATATCATAGTCAAGGAGAATTCCACTTTGCGCTTATTTTGTCTATAGAACCGCATATAACAAGTCCAACATGGCTAGAAGGAGGTTCCGTTTTCTATAGTTGAGAATGTTAGACACCCTGATCATGCTAGAAGGAAGCTGTCTAAACCTCAATCTGACTCACGGTGGCTCGGGAAGAATTATTAGAGAGTCCTAGATATTATTTTGTTCTTGGAAATACTTAAATTCGCGTTATTATAAGAGCTTTTCGTAGGTGTTGATGGGCTTTCTGTAGTGGTTTTTAATGAGATCACTTGGATGTTTTTTTTTCTGGCGACTTCGTGTTTGCATCTCGAAACGCTGCTTGACAAGCTGAATTTCACAACTCCACGTACAACTGTGGAATAGCCGCTCTAAGGTGATTATGATGATCAAGGAATGAATTCATGACGAGGAGATATTTAAGATATAAAGCTACTTTAACAGGACCCTGATGTCTCTCCGCCCCTGTCTTCGCAGCCGGTTTCTTCGGCGAGCAGGCTTCATATCGAGAAGCTATGCCGTTCAAACTCCTGGGAACCCGACGCTAGAGGTTTTTAACAGAAGGGCTAAGCTATTACAAAAGGATAGAGCGGCAGAGAATGTTGAGGAGAGCAGAAAGGTTGACTATTTGAAAGATGAAGTTGCGCTGCGGTTGACAGACAGGCTGTTGGTAGGACATTTATTAGCTGGTTTCGTATCATTGCGTCCTTCGAAGTGATTTCCAGTCTGCTAACTGACAATATATTGTTAGGATATCAAAAGACATTTTCCAAATGTCCTTGATCTAGGTGCAAATAGCTGCAACATAGCTCGAGCATTAACCTCTACTCCAATATCAAGCGGCGATGGCGCAAATCCAGGAGATGGCGTCTCCATAGCAAACCGAGTGTCGAAAATAACTTGCATTGATGAATCTCGAAATCTCCTCTACCGAGACGAATCTCTCCCATTTAACACTCAAATTTCAATCACTCGCGAGGTGGTCCCAAACCTCGAAAATCTTCCCTATGAACCGAACACATTCGATGCTGTCCTTTCGTCCCTCTCAATGCACTGGATAAATGACCTGCCATCTCTTTTGGCACAGGTGAACTCTATATTAAAGCCAGATAGCCCGTTTATTGCAGTGATGTTCGGAGGTGACACGCTATTCGAGCTGCGCACGTCCTTGCAAATAGCAGACCTTGAACGCAGGGGAGGTGTAAGCCCCCATGTGTCTCCACTCGCTGATGTACGTGATATCGGTGGGCTATTGACAAAAGCCGGGTTCAAACTGCTCACAGTTGACGTGGAAGATATCGTGGTGGAATACCCTGATACCTTTGCTCTGATGGCAGATCTTCAGGCAATGGGAGAGAATAATGCAATCTTAAGAAGAGAAGCCGGGCCAATATCCAGAGATGTTTTATTAGCGAATGAGGCGATATATAGAAGTCTGCATACAGAAGATGGTGCGGATAGTATACCTGCTACTTTCCGGCTGATATATATGATAGGGTGGAAAGAAGGGGAGGGACAGTCGAAGCCATTGGAGAGAGGCAGTGGGCAAGTTAACCTAAAGGACATTATTGGGTCTGAATAGAGATAGATAACCTATTCGTGGCTATGTCACCTTTGTACAGTATTGTAATCGCTATATAGAATAGACGGTGGGCAGCGTTTCTTAAATGATGCTTGATAGTATATGTTTTTATCCCACCATCTATAGAGGTAGAGGTAGTACAGGTATTAGCCAGACTGCTGGATCATATGATATTCGTGTAGGATGGTCATCAATTTCGACACAATCTGTTGTATATTCTAGAACGGGTGCCGATCCGCAAAGGCCTTAAACCGTCCTCCTGTCAGTCATAACCCGTACAATTGAACCAACTCCAACAATCTCAACTAGCTTCTCATGCCAGCTCAGTAGTACGCTCATCTGCTGACCACCTCCGCCTTCTCCAAGATTTCGGCCCTGTATCTGGGAGAAACCGGTGCTCTGTGGGGATACTGACTTTGAGCCAGCATCACTGCCCGTCTGTATAGACATACCCTTGTACCTGTTCACCAAAACGTCAGTAATGAATAACATAGTTCTCAAAAGAACTATAATTGAGGACCAGGGATGGTTGCAAGATAAATATGTAGACATACAAGTATTTCATCAAACAATCCCCCCGTTCGGCGCCTCCTTCACCGTTGCATACTCCTTCTAGCACTTTTGTCATTTCGGTCTGTCGTATACCCTGCAATACCTCCACGACCGAAGCGAGATGGACTTCCTTTGCTCTATTATCACCCCCTAGCGGCGCTGAATCGAGGACATGGCGCAAAGCTCCTTCAGTATCGCCGGATCGGAGCAGCTGTCTGATCTGCGACCCGAGACTTGCTGCGGCGCTGGATGTTGTAGGCGGAGGTAGATTTGAGGGAAGTAGTGAGGAAATTGGGAAATTTGCGGATGACTCTGGATCAAGGCTGTCGATGTCAATCGTCCTGTAGTTTGTTATCGGTGGCATTGTGGTTCGTAGTGTTAAAGTAGACGGTGCTGTTTATCGTATGGAGGGGTCTTAGCCGTTGCGTAAAAAGGGCGCAGCAGGAATAATTCGTGGGAGTGAGCCTCCAGGGCAAGGCAGTGTAGTAGTGGTAACGTTGAGGACATGCAAGGCCGAGACGCCAGTTAGACGTTTGGTGGTCTCTGGTGTTTTAGTGTTTGATTCATCTACATATCTTGACGCCTGAAGAAGCCAAAGCCGAGTTGATGTTGGTCTGGTGCCAAGACTTCCAAAGCGTGGCGATGCACATAACAGCAGCAGAGTATCCGGAGTGCTATGTATGTACACGAACAATATAATTGAGACATCAGGATGTAGAAACGCACATAATAATCTCGAGATTCTGGTAATTTTTCTAGATATGTACAAGTGCTATGTGGCAAAAGGAAACTGTGCACTCTTTGGAGGGTGCCCAACAACGCCGTCGCTATGCATTAAAAGGGGGTGAGTATGAAGAAAACGAGAGGACTTCAAAAGGGACATGGGAGATAAAACATTTCTAGGGTAGATATAACGGCCGTGGAACGATCGTAAAATGCCAGGATAGAAGCCACCAAGAAAAACAAACAAAAAAAGGGAACGACGGGATGACTAGGTGAGGATCTAGCTGTGAAAAGGGGGGACGTATTTAACTGGGAGCCGTAAGAGTGATGGGTGGTGGCGCGATGGTCGGCGGAGCAGCAACAGGGAAAGAATTTGCTGCTTGTTTCTCAATGTCACCAATCTCTTCGTCTCGTGGTCTCTTTTCATTCAACTCCTCGGGTTGGAGGGTATCCTTCTTAGGGAATAAAGTCTGGTCAAATGTCTTAAATGCCTTTCTGATGGGAGAGAAAATGACACGACAAGCCCTTGCGATTGGCTTCCAGAAGAAACTGAAGCAGGCAATGACCATGTTCATGACGATTTCGAAATGTCGGTCGGGGAGACAGCGCACAATAACAGCCCACAGGAGACAGGGCAAAGAGGTTCCGATACAAATGGCCCATTGCACTGCGGTGAGAGCCTTGACGCCAATTGCAGCACCGCCAACAAAAATTATCATGATCTGCCCGCCGATCATAATTGCGTTGATACCTAGGAAAAAATAGTTCTTGAACATGCCTTCGAAAATGTTGAACTTGTTATCAAGACGACGGTTGTTGAATTCGTTGAAAATTTGCATCCAAACGAATGTGTTGAAGACGATTGTGTCCATCTGGGCAGACAGTATCTTATTCTCAAGGTCATATCCAAATATCTTAGCTCCCGCAAAGTATAGTACCAGCGTCACGGCGAGCTGATAGATGGCTTGTCCAATTATCATTTTCCACATGGTTATGGTGAAAAGAGGCGCGGACTTTGGAGATGGTTTACGGTCGAGGATCTTTTCAGTAGGAGCATCGGTAGCCCTGAAGGTGAGTTAGCATGGGAGCCCTAGGGAGGAGGATTCAAAAAGCAACATACAGTGCTAGAGCAGCAAAGGTATCCATGATGAGGTTAACCCAAAGGAGTTGAACTGCGTTAAGAACACTTTTGCCCTTTGAGTTGGCAAGAGATGAAACGAAGGTCAATACAACAGCGGTAATGTTAACAGTGATTTGAAACTATTGGTCGTCAGTACTTGCAGTATAAAAAAGACACTCGATAAATCTCACCTGTAGAAACTTTGCGACAGCATCGTTTACAGCTCGTCCCCAAGAGATAGCCGTCACAATGGACTTAAAGTTGTCGTCCAAGAGAATGATAGAACTGGCCTCCTTTGCAACTTCGGTACCAGCAATTCCCATGGAGAAACCGACATCCGCAGCTTTGAGTGCAGGCCCATCGTTGGTACCGTCGCCAGTCACGGCAACAGTCTCTCCAAGATGTTTTAAGCGGCTAACAAGAATACGCTTGTCTTCAGGCGATGAACGAGCTAAGACTTGCAACTTAGGAAGTATCCGATCCATTTCCTCGTCAGAGAGCTGTCGGAACCTGGGACCTTCCATAGCAATACCTTCGGGAGTTTTGATACCACATTCTGTTGCAATAGCGACAGCCGTGGTCAAGTTATCACCTAGCACATCATTAGTAACACTGTTGCGTTGTGAGATATTATAACAGTTATTAAAATAAGATGACTAACCTGTGACCATTTTGACACTGACACCAGCCTTGTTACACTTTTTAATGGCATCAGGAACTTCGTCTCGGAGTGGATCCTGAATTCCAACAACGCCAACCCAGGTCATGTTGTTGAAAACGTCATTGAAATCAGCGCATGACTTGTCCTCTTCCATTGTCTTAGCGCCCTGTGGTGGCCAGCATTCAAAATCCTTATAGACCATGCCGATAGATCTCAAAGAGCGTTTGGCATAGGAGTTTATGGTGTCGAGAATTTCGGATTTAGCCTTAGGCGTGAGGATGTTGGGTTGGAGTTGAGGCGCAGGTAGCTCCGAGATGACATTGCTTGACTGATACAGCATTATCTCCGCGGCACCCTTAACAAGAAGACGGAATGACCCATCGGATTGACGAATGACTACTCCCATGCATTTGCGGGAGGAATCAAAGGGTATTAGTTGGACGATTTCGGCACTGGCTCGCTCTTCAGTCAAGCTCAAGCCAAGGTAACTTTGAGCGAGATGTAGCATAGCGACTTCCGTTTTGCTTCCGATGAATGTTTTTTCGCCATTCTCCTCGCCTTCAAAGGCAGTCGAGTTAAGAGCAATACTTTTCATCACTAAATCACGAGCAGCAGTAGAGGCTTCATTAAATATCTGGGCGGCAGCAGATGGGCCTTCATCCTCAGCTTCTGGTGTGCGATCAAATGTGCTTTTCATCCCAAAGTTTCCTGTAACGACTGTCATTTTGTTCTGCGTTAGAGTACCGGTTTTATCTGAGCAAATAACCGTTGCATTGCCCATAGTTTCACAAGCGCGTAGAATTCGAACAAGGTTGTTTTCCTTGACCATTCGGCTTGTAGCGAATGCGAGTGCTAATGTGACTGCAAGTGGAAGACCCTCTGATACTCCTGTCAGTAAAAAAGATAGCGAATGTAATGTATGCGGGAGACATACCTGGGATTGCAACAACAATCACAGTAACAGCAACGATAAGAATATCCAGGAATTCTTTGCCTTTCATAGCAGGCGAGTGGTGGTTATCTGGCAATTGGGCTAGGAACCGGAAGAGAAGCGCAAAGAACAAGGTAGCAGCAGCACTATCGGCTTTGTTAGAACTTGAACAAGTAACTCAAAAAGACATGACAAGGTATACGTACGCCATTCCAAGTCCACCAATCCAGTCAGCAAGGTTTCCTAGCTTGACTTGAAGTGGTGTGGGATCATTTGTGGTCTGGAGTGAAAGCATGATTTTGCCATAGGATGAGTTTGGCCCAACACTAGTGACGAGGTAGGTTCCGACGCCTTCAAGGACTTTGCTGCCGGAGATAATGAAGGGGTCAAGTTTCCTCGTAGCAGTTCCATTGTTGATTCGCTCCCAAACTTCGTGTCCATCGGTTTTTTTCATCTGATCTGACTCTCCAGTTGCGGAGGACTCATCACATCTAACTCCATGGCCAGAAAGGAAGATACCATCAGCAGGAACTGCATCACCTGGTTCAAGGTGAAGGATGTCGCCAGCTGTGATGTCGAAAATAGATATCATAATAGATTTTCCGGAACGGATAGCCTTGACTTCACGGTCATTTTTCTATATCCCAGTTAGTAGATTATTTCATGCAAATGTATTGAAGCCCAGGACAACAAACCTTCCTATTTAATTTGACGAATTGCCGTTCTTTCTGCCAGTCATTAACCGCAGTAACAATAGTAACAATCAAGATGGCCACACAAATTGCGACACCCTCAACCCAATCAACTTTACTTCCGCCGCTAAATGTCTCATAGAGGCCAAGAGATAATGAAACAACGGCAGCAATAGTGAGAAGAATGATGATCTTATCATTATAGGCCCTCCATAGTAATACCAAGAAGCTGTCACTTTCCCTTTCAGGTAACTTGTTTCGGTCAAAGACTCGGATGCGATCTGCATATTGGGCTCCGTCCTTGGATATAGGCCGCTGAGCAGTCGAGGTATTGGTATCTTCATGTTTGGTTGAACTGCTGTGGACGGCGTCCTCAAAACTAACGGTCCCTTCTAAGTGTGTCTCGTCGAGTGATAGACCGGCGGTTAAATCCGTTCTCAATCCTTTTTCCAGCCCTTTCAATCCACCGAGAGCTTTGAATGCAGCTAGCGATTTTGGATTTAAAAGTTTGTTCAGCTGGCCTGGCGAAAATGCGAACGGATTATTTTCCACCTCAAAATCTTGTTTATTGCGCTCATCCGCCCTTAAGGCTTCTGATAGAGGAACATCGTCGTAATCTGCGCCATCTGGTCTGATAGGTGGCTTAACCGTCGAACCAGAACGTGACCGGAGCGTTTCCACATTTGAGTTGACAGAGTTTGCTCTCGAACGAAGAGTCTCTCCGTCGAACGAGTTTGGACTCCGAGGAAAGAGAAATGAGTTCGCATCGTTGGATGAAGACGGCCTATCTGGGGAGAGCTCTTGCGCGGTGGTAGGACTTAGAGGGCTGATGGGGTCGGACGAGGATGATGCAGTATTATCATACTATCATTCGTTAAGAATCAGTTCACGGACAAGCGAGTATATTTTCCCAGATGGTACTTACATGTGTGTCTATGGTTATAGGAGGTGCGAGCAACCTGTTGTTGTTCGCCATGGAAGATGCTGAAAATGACAAACGTGCTTGACTTGCTGATACTTATTATCATGCAAAGAAAGAGTGATATTTGTATAAAGGGATTAAAAGGTGGTTAAAAAATAGATAATTATCTTTTGTAGTAGTAATGTAGATAACGCCTGGAACAGGCTGCTGGTGGTCTGATCGTTGCAGCGCTCTCAGGGAGAGCCTCTCCTTACATATCACCCGCCAGCAACAAGATCAAAGTCGAGATATACCTCCAGCCGCGTGCTGTGCTCTGTTGACGAGAGCAAGAGACTTGGCTTGCCGCCAACAACCCCTTGACCGTCATGGAGTGGAGGCTTCATCTCCTGCCGTTCGGGGATAAGAGTTTCCAGCGAGGCAGTGCAAGTCTTGGACGCCCCAGCGTCAACCGCCACTGACAAGGCATCCCCGCTGCGTATGTAGCCCCTACCAGTTGGGAAAATCCTCAAACCCTCGGCCATACGGCTTTTGGGCGCAGTTGTAATGTAATCATTTTTGATTTGTTGGTAGACAACCTCGTCACCTTCGAATTTGTCAAGGTTGAGGACGGGAGATTTAGATGTTTCAATATGGCGGTTAGGATGAGGTTTCGGGAAGCCTATGGATCCAATCTTGAACTCCCGCTGCTGCATTTGTGGATCTGCCAATCATTGGATGAGTTAAAAAGTCTTTAACCTTTTCCATGAGGGTCGGCCAGGGGCTAGGGACAAACATCGTGTAAAAGAAAGGACTACAACATCCACTAGAAATCGTAACAGATTGAATCGAGCATAACCTCCGTCTAGGGTGACAGGGAATACGCTCAATCTCGCTTTTTTGGCGACTCTGTGCGGATATTTTCTTTTGCCGTCGATATATAAATACTTTGGTCTTGTCCTCTCGTACTCCAGCACACCAAAGTCCGCTCATGGGCTAGATGCATGTAGGCGCCTGCGAGAGGCTAAAAAGCGTACCAGAAGATGCATCACTCGTCCCTACGGAGAAGTTAGGCAAGTAAAAAATCGCTTTCTCGTTTCAATAGCTACGTTCACTCTTTGGCCAAGGTACCTTGGCTCGGAAGATGATATATTAATCAGTCTCTTGGCCGGTTGGACTCTCCGTCTCAAAAGCAAGGGTCAGCCATCCCACACATTCATCGTCCCAACTTGTAGATCTACCTACCATCTCTATTCCCCCTGCCAGTGAGCGATTTTCCTTTTTGCATGTATCTCCGCAGAGTTCATATCAAGTTTATGGTATTGGCCTGAAGTTCTTTGATGCTCTCTGGGTGCGGAGTAATCCCTGCGGAGTATTCAACAACGTACTATGTAAGTACGAGTTCTCATCGGTTCTTCCAGCCAAGAAACATAAATTCTCCGCTGGAAGGAGTGGATATTACTCCGCCTCTCTTGCCAAGTTGTGAATTCCGTTGAGCAGCTTGCAGTTCTTCTTCCATATTTTTGATGAACCACGAGAAAAAGGTGTGATCAATATATTATCTCAGAAGCCTTGTATGGGTACATGCATGAGACCCTCCGTTTTCGCTTCTAGGGTGGCCAGATGCAGACTTGATCAGCAACCTTAAAGTAGGTGAGAGTCCAGCATTTCGGAGGCAAACAGCAGCATGACCTGATCATGTACGGGCTGCCTGAGGACAACAGCCGGACACAAAAGCACCATATTTTGACGCCAACACGTATGGCTGATGTCAACAGAGAGGCTTAGGGAGATGGCGAAATAGTAGCAACTCCGTAAATATCACAAGCTATTATAAAAGCTGGAGAAGACGACGTCACCAGCCACATGTGGCGGTTATAGGTTATGTCATCGGATTTAGCCGCGATCACTGGATCACCAGCCACGATGAGATAATATACACGTGACTACATCTAAATTCTTGGGATTTCAAATCAAGACTTTTTCTCAAAGACAACATCTGGATAATACCAAGAAAGCAGACGAGAGAATCTCCACGAAGGGGGCTATGCAAAAGCACGCAAGCTAGGCTGAGAGCCTGGAGCTCTCTTGGCTTTTTCTGTGCTACATGTCAGAAGGAATAAGGCCGATGACACTCCCCATGTGGCTGCAAATACCACCAAGCCTACTTTACTGTCCATGTGTCCGCTTCCCTCAGGATCTCAACAAAACGCTGCTCATCTAATGAGATACGTCCAGCATGTAAGATCGCCGTCGTTGCGATTGTGTTCTTTAGCGTTGGCAATCCTCGCTGGTCAAGTTGATCTAGAGTCACCCGCCCTTCGTTCAGGGCAGTGACCGCATCAATAAACTTTTCGAAGCTGATATACCCATAGCCCCTCTGGCCTCCGAAGTTCCCTTCCTCATCAGGAGCATAGCTCATATAGAAACTGCCAAGCGGGAGGGAGAGAGCCTATTAGCGAACTTCTAAAAGGGCCAGAAGAAAGGGAAATGGAAAAAGAAAAGAGCATTAACATGGGACAAGCTTAAATAGCTTCCGCTCCTTGTTACAACTAGAAGGCTGGAGACATCGGGTTTATACAGATGTGCGAACTTTTTTTTTGGTTTTCACTTACGGGTTGCACCACACGAGGCCATCATCGGTTGTAATATCGTATCCTCTCTTGGCTTGGTTTATTCTGATCTCGCCCTTCGATCCCATCCCTAATAATAACAGAAACCAGGTCTTTGATCAGCTTGATTCCTCATGGATCAATGCGCAAGCGTTTGGCCAAACAGTGTCAGTAAAAGCCGCCCTAAGGATCCCTCTACACTTACAATGGAAGTATTGATTAGAGTGAACTCCAGCCTGTTGAGGCGCAGTCCAGCTTGCAGTATATACGCCCGTTGCAACCTTGGAAGGCTCCTCCTTCTTCCTCCACTCAACAAGCAGGGTGATGGTGTCTTCTGTTTTCTCAACACAGCCAAGCTCGATAGATGTTCCCTTTGAGGCTGAGGCTGTTACCTTAACCGGTGTATACTCCGGAACCATACTCTCACAGATGTCCACATGGTGAGAGTTGAGATAATACGAGATGTCACTATCCTTACCAGCCCAGGCTTTAAAGGTCTCTAGCTGGCTCTTAGGCTGGCTCATGTAGCTGTAAAAATAGTTAAAATCACCCAGCTTCCGAACCTTGTTACGTGCATCCGAGTATGCAGGATCGAAACGCTTATGGTGCTCGATGAATACGAAAACGTTATGCTTTCGAGATTCTGCTAGTAGCTCGAGATGTTCATCCAGCACCTTTGTAGCAGGCTTGGTGATGAGGACGTGGATATTACGGCGGATAGCGTATAACGCGATTTCATAATGTGTGGTATCTGGAGTAAATATAGTAATGGCTGAGCCAGGCTTTAGTGCGTCAATTGCAGCCTTGTATGCATTTGGGTCGACCTTGTCGTCTGCTGGATAAGATTCAAACAAGACGGATAGCCCGTTATACACCTCTGATATGTTTTTTTCAAGGTGCTTTCCTGGTTGGGCTCAGCATCAACGCCAGACGGTATCAGCGCCTTCAAGGGGGCACTCACTGATAGACGGAAACTTCAAGCCTGATACGCCAGCCATGCTCAGCTTACCGACCTTCCCCCGCCTCCGTAGGTCAAACATCGTCAGGCCAACAACTCCCACTTTCTTGTCCGAGGTGGAAGCAGTGCCTCCTACAAAACCAGTAGTATACTCACCTGTCCCAACCTATGCATGCACGTTAGCACCACTGGTCATCTAGAGCGTGTGTGTACCTTACCATCAGCACGTCAGGAGGAGCCATCTTGATGGAATCGTCACGCCGTTGACTGCTTTGCAAAGGGATATATAGCTTCAGAACCACGTTGAGAGAATCGGCCAGATATAAAGAAGGATTGCTTTGTTAAAATGTTCCCCAAACAGTGCAACGTAGCCTGCTTTATAAGTCCTATGATATAGCTCATTCATGGCATTAACCATAATCAAACACATAAAGACTTCTAATCTGACCGGTACGTAGGAGCCAAAATCCCAACTAAATAATAGGAGAACCGGGGTAGCGCCGTTGGCCTCCTCGGGGTTTAGCCGCGGCCCCTCGCCCAGAACATCGAAGGTTCTTTATATGAATATATCTTCATAACTTGGAGGTTGGTACTCAGAGCCTGGAGAGCAGTCGTGGATATAATTATACAGGAGTACTGTTTGCGGTTTAAAGGAATACGGGCAAATCCAATCCTCCGTTGGTATAGCTGAAAATGGCGGAACGAATGAAGACACCCCTCCAACCAGGCGTCTATGTGCCCACTATGACCTTCTTCGACACCGAAACCGAAGACCTTGACATACCCACCATCCGGAAGCATGCGGTACGACTGGCGAAAGCCGGCGTATCTGGCCTGATCACGATGGGTTCGAACGGTGAAGCCGTCCATCTGTCCAGAGCAGAGCGCGCCCTCGTCACACATCACACTCGCTCGGCGCTGGACGAGGCAGGATTCAAGCATATCCCTGTCATATCCGGTGCTACAGACCAAGGTGTTCGAGGTACGATTGAAATATGCCGGGAAGCTGCAGACGCAGGGGCGGAATATATTCTTTTGATCTCGCCCAGCTACTACCGAGCCGCTATGGGTGATCAGGACACTCTCTTTGAATACTTCACAAAGGTGGCTGATGGGTCACCCCTGCCTATCATACTATATAATTTCCCCGGAGTGGTTGCTGGAATCGACATGGATTCAGACTTTATCATTCGAGTATCACAGCATCCAAATATCATCGGAACTAAGTTCACCTGCGGCAGTACAGGGAAACTATGTCGAGTTGCTGCTGCCATGAATGCCATCACCCCGGCCTCGCCCTTGACCACTTCCCCTGAGCGTGTAGCTTCTGCCCCATACTTTGCTTTTGGCGGTTATGCAGACTTTGCTCTTCAGACGCTGGTTTCGGGAGGGTCTGGCATAGTGGCCGGAGGAGCGAACGTGTTGCCTCGTCTGTGTGTGGAGGTGTTCAATCTATGGAGCAAAGGAAAGCTGGCAGAGGCGATGGAGATGCAGAAGATTCTCAGTGATGGGGACTGGATTATGTCTAAGTATATGATACCCGGCACAAAGAGTGCGATCCACGCCTGCTATGGCTACGGAGGGTACCCCAGAGCGCCCGTGCCTCGTCTAACAGAAGCCCAGGAGAAAGAAGTGGCAGAAAAGATTAAGCCGGCCATGATTATTGAGATGAAGCTCAAGGATGCCGTATAGACACTTGTAGATATTTCCTGAAGCACTCCTTCATGTATAGATATAAATTTGTCAACTAGTCTCTACCTCTCGCCCTTTTGGCCGAAGGGCAGATTTTGACAAATTTAATCACCTTGAATGCATATCTCAAATGCGCATCTTTACGCCCTGGAACAGTGGAAAACTGGTGGGGAGCTGGCTGGGCCTGGAGGTTTAACGCCAGGCAATATATCCTCCTCAAGATAGGATTCTACCATATAGAATATAGTTACAATCGCGCCAGCAAACAGCCCTCTGGTCCAACGACTGAGTAAGTGATTTCCTATTCGATGACATCTAGAAAGAGTCTAACTAACCACTTCCCAGCTAACAAATATAAACGCGTTAGACCAAATTCAGGCGACCTTAACGAATACCCATACCGCGTGTTTACCCATACCGCGTGTTGACCGTCACGTGACAGAGAGATCGGCCAACGACCAATAGTTAACTGGATCCTCTTTTTCTTCACTCTATTTATCTTGTAGGAAATATGCCAGCAAACGGTGTTTATACCCATACAGTAGAACGTACCTTGCCAGCGCAGCCGGCCGTTAGCTCCGTGTGTCAGACGCCTCTAGCACCACCGTACGTTGGTGCCAGCATTTCGAACAACGAATCTCCCAAATTTGGCGACAAAGTAACCTTCCTTCGCTAGATGTTTAAATTGCCATTAGGAAAGACGCAGAAGGCAACGCATCCTCCTTTTCTTGATATGTATTTTCCTTATTGAATGGCGCTTCACCTTCAACGCCCAATATACCCCTCTATGGAGACGTGTCAGTCCGCTACTGTCTCTGTGATTAAAATTACATCTACGGGGTGTGCAATGGTCTACTCTGATGGACTCCAAAAGCTGCTCTGCCATTAATATCCGTCTATTGAAGCTTAGGTGTGTTGTCTGTTCTTTTCCTAATGCTCAAAAAAGGGGATTCCTCTCCATGATCAGATATCGATAACTAAGTTCTCTTCAGTCTGTGGCCCCAGTCTTGGCGCTAGTTATGAAAATTCTTTCGCTTAGTAAGAAAAAGAAAAAAAAGAAGAAAAAAAAGAAAAAGGTGAAAAAAAAAAGTTGATGATGAAAAGAAACATCGAACTCCTTTTTTCCCCTTCTTTTCTTCTTTTCTTCACTCTCGCCATTCTTTTTTTTTTGTCTTTCTTTCTTGGGATAGAATATCTTCTTCTTTTTCATCTTTTTCATCTTTTCGTCTTTTATAATTATTGTGTTGGGAGGTCTAGAAGTTGCAGCCCTAGGCCCGATCTAATACACAGTACGAATATATCGTTATTATTATTATTAGTATTATTATTATAAAAGCATCTATCTTCTGGCATTAGAGGGCCAGTCGTTTCAGCAATGTCGTCCTGCGCTTCTAATACTCATCCTGGCCGTCGACGGTCGCTTCTTTCCAGAGTGCGGCCGCTCACTTCGGCTGGCGAGCAGCAGCAGCAGCAACAAGATGGAAGCGGACGAGCCCATGCTGGTATATGGGTTTCGCATCAGCGGGATGGAACACACAGAGAGAGCCTTTCTCCCTTTGCCAGTGAACACCAGCAGAGCGCCATTGTCGAGACGGACGAGACGCTGGCCACGGCTGCTCCCCGATCAAAGCACCGCCACAGCAAGAGTTTCTCCAGCATCCTTCATGGCGCCAGCGAGCTCAAGACAATCACCCGGTCGCTGTCGATAAGCATTCGAAACAAAGGGAAACGCGCAGCGCATGCTCCGGGAGAACTGGAACACCACCAGGGACATGACGAGTCCAAGGCCGGCTGGTTTCGTAGCCACCGGCTGCCACGTCGCCGGTCTCTCGGTGGTATCAGCAACCTGAATCGATTCTACCCGCCCGTCTCGAGTCCGCCGATGCCTTCAAACTTTAGGGAACTCACGCGCGCACAGAATGAGCTGTTGGGCGGTGCGGCAGCTCAGGGCGAGCTTGCGACGGCGGGGAAACTTGCACTAAGCAAGGGGGAGGACGAAGGAATGGAGATCTCTGAGCTCGCTGATAATCTGGGCGTCAAGCTCTCGTTGGACTCGGAAAGCGGAATCTGCATTAACATTCAAGATACTGACGATAACGCAAAGGAACTATATTGCATTCGCAAGGGTTAGTCCTTTCTTGTTACCTGTTAAGATTAAGATGAATTGGTGCATGGCTAACGATTTGATAGACCCTGTTTCCTTGCCTGCAGAACTAATGGCGCATATCCTATCCTTCCTTGACGCAGATTCACTGAAGAATGCAGAGCTAGTCTCGCACGCTTGGAACCTCCATGCATCCTCCAGCACCGTTTGGAGGGAGGTCTTTTACCGTGAATATCGTGACAGCCGTAATATCACTAGCACACCCGGTATTCCAAACCGCGCAATGGGTCTGGGGAGGAAGAAACCCGACCAGGACTGGAAGAAGGTGTACAAGGTTCGGCACGTCTTGGAGAACCGCTGGAAGTCTGGGCGGGCAGCGGCAATCTATCTGCATGGCCACCAGGACAGCGTGTACTGTGTTCAGTTTGACGAGTATGTTCGCCCCCGTTTGGATGCCTCAGGCTGTAAACTAACAACCTTTTCAGAAACAAAATCATCACCGGTTCCCGAGATCGTACCATCCGCGTGTGGGATGCACGCTACCCGTGGCCGTGTTTGAAAGTCATCGGCGCACACCAGTCCACATCTGACAGCAGCGTGCCCGTCACACCATGGCCCATCACTCCGCCAGCAGATTCGACCGGTAGTTCTCCCTTTATCAGCATTTGCCCACCGGTAGCTTCCACCGCCGGCCTAATCTCTCAATACCCAGCTGGGGAATACCACAATGCATCGATCCTCTGTCTTCAGTTCGATGACAAGATCATGGTCACTGGCTCATCTGACGCCACCTGCATCGTCTGGGACATGCAAGATGACTACCGCCCCATTCGTCGCTTGAAGTCGCACCAAGCTGGTGTTCTCGACGTTTGCTTTGACGATAAGTACATCGTCTCTTGCTCCAAGGACACCACAATTTGTGTCTGGGACCGTGAAACTGGCGAGCTAGTCAAACGCCTTCTCGGCCACCGCGGCCCGGTAAACGCGGTGCAACTCCGCGGCGACCTAGTCGTCTCCGCCAGCGGTGACGGTGTCGCAAAACTATGGAATATCTCATCCGGTCTCTGTATCAAAGAATTCGCCAGCAAAGACCGAGGCTTGGCCTGTGTCGAGTTCTCCGAGGACGCACGCACCATCCTCGCTGGCGGAAATGACCAAGTTATATACCAATTTGACGCTAATACAGGAGAACTCGTCAAGGAATTAGAAGGCCACTCAGGCCTCGTCAGGTCACTGCACATGGATAATGCCAACGGCCGGGTCGTCAGTGGCAGTTATGACATGAGCATCAAAGTATTTGACGCAAAAGCCGGCAAACTCAGCGTCGACCTCCCCGGCTGGACCACGAGCTGGATGCTGAGTGCCAAGTCAGACTATAGAAGAATAGTTGCAACCAGTCAAGATGCTAGGGCTGTGATTATGGACTTTGGTTATGGTGTGGACGGTATAGAATTGCTTGAGGGTTAGAGCCATTTCTTTTCTCTTCATTTCGGATAGAATATTGCTCCTGGCGCTGGTGTTTGGGACAGATTAGACCATATAAAAGACATAATTCTGTGATTTTTTGCCATTTCTGAATTCTATTCATATAGATTTCTTTATATATTCTGTCAGTTCTGCGTCTCTTTGGTTGCTCTTTCTACCTATTTGGCTCTGGCAATAATAGATGGTTGTCTTTTTTTGACCAATATATTGTTATTGATCGAGAGTTCATTTTCTATTCCACCCTCGATGTCAAACGCTATTTTCACGGGAGTTCCAGATGGAAAATCGACAGACGTCATTCCAGCAGGGATGAACATACATAGCATATATACACCCAGATTGATCCTATTATTAGTGACTCCAGAAATGCCAGATCAAACCATGTGTCCCGATTCCTCGGCTACAACGAACTGTTATTGGCTTCACCAGCTCAACCACGAATCGAGACACACTCTGAGCGTTACATCTTTGACAGCTGGACGGCCTACGCCAAGTGAACAGGCAGCACTATTAAATACAACAGCCGAGATGGGAATGAGTCTCAAAGGACCAGCTATTTATCTGCAGAGAGGCCTCTGGTTCAATGAAGTTCTCTACTACAAATATACCTAGCAACAAGCAGTTGTTCACTTACTCAATAATCACATAATAATAAGCTATGGCTTCGAAAGCAGCGTCGCTATCCATACCAAGATCCATGCGTGCCTGGACACAACGGCGGGCAGGCTCACCCTCCAAAGTCCTCTCGATGACGGAGGATGCCTCTATACCCACACTTCCAACAGATACTTCCGTCCTGGTGCGAGTCTCTCATGTCGCTTTCCACCCGGGTAGTATTATCTTGATGCATTTTGTCCCCTCATGGCTGCGTCGTATGCCGGCTGTCCCCGAAACGGACTTCTCCGGCGTGGTTGTGAGCTGTGGGAAAAATGTTCCGGTCTCGAATCCAGACAATGACTTAAGGCCAGGAACACCAGTCTTTGGCTCGTTACCCGTGAAACCGCTCCTTAGTGGCGGGCATGGTGCGCTGACCGAGTATATAGCCATTGAATCGGCGGCCATCGGTAGGAAGCCCACCAATGCATCGTTTGCCGAAGCCTCAGGCCTAGGCGTTTCCGCACATACGGCTGTCGTTCTAGTTGAGGCTGCAAAAGTGCCCAAGGATGCCAGAATTCTCATCAACTCTCCTTGCGGTGGGGTTGGACATTTCGCGACCCAGCTGCTCCGGCAACGAAACCCCACGGCGCGGATCACAGGAATATGCTCCGGCCATAATCATGCCCTTGCCTTACAACTTGGCTGTTCCGACACTATCGATCATACCTCCTTCCCTAACGTGGAGGGCCAAACGCTCGTCGAATACCTGGCCTCAAAGTATGGGGCCAAAGAAGAGCAGTTTGACATTATCTTTGACGCTTATGGAAGCCAAGACCTCTGGATATCTTCCGCCAGGTACCTTAAGGCAGGCAACGACCACCCATATGTTACCGTTGGTCCGAAGATGGGGGTTTCCATCATGGAAGTACCCGGATTCCTATGGAAGGTGATAAAGAACTCGGCACTGCCAACCTGGCTTGGTGGAGTGCCTCGACCGTATAAGCAGATATCGGCATTCACCAACACGGAAGCCATTGAGAAATGCAGGGAGCTGGCGCAAGCAGGAGAGTTCAAGACATATGTGAGCGAAATGTGGGACATGGATCAAGCTTTGAGTGCATATGAGGTGATGAGGAGTGGTCATGCCCGGGGGAAAGTAGTCGTTAAAATCTGGGAGCCAGAGCAAGTCTGATTCATGTAGCTTTGCGACTTTATTATATCTCTATTAATAACAGGTTAAACATAATGCTCTACTGCTACTATTCTGACACAACATTCCATTCTTCCAAACAAATGACAAGGAAGGATTCTTTTGGAATTTGAAGAAAGAATATTGACCAGAACTCTGTATCAAAAAGTTCGACACGTACTACCTTCGCTTGATCAGGGTTGCTCCCCAACAGAATAGCTAAATCATGTATATGATTCGTATTAAGAGTGTAAGAGATAAAAACTTATATCCACTGCTTTTTCGATGGCAGGAGGGAGGTTGGGTTCAGATCACGTGTAGCACTTTCTTTGGCTAACGTCAATTATTAATACTACTAGTATAACTATATCACATGATTATAACACACTTTTCGTGGGAAATTTCTTTATTATATAATCACATATCGTGACTAGTCACACTAAACTGCAAAGAACTAAAATGCTGAACTTGACTATAAAACAAAGTCAGAAAATAAGCTTAAAATTTTATCTCTGTACGAACTTGTTCTCCATAGATGGATAATAGATTTATATAGTAGATACTATGCCGCTATTTTTTGCAGGTTGACCCATACGATTACCTCTGTTTAACAAAGGACTCCACTACACATCAGTGGCCTCACATTACTTGCGATGGTTAGGAGATCCATTAGACTATAGCAAAGGGGCGTAACTGGCTGATTCCATATATCACATCTCTACTGCCGCATTAAAGGTCTTCTGCCTATTCTTGTTAATAAAAATATTCTGGTCTAGTGTCTAGTTTGCGCTAGCTGACAATGAACTGAGGGTTTAGCTATCTTCTGTATTACTATGATTAATCTCTACGGAATTCCATTCATATACCTCTATTCGAGTTTATGCTAATAATTACACATGGGAGTGCTATGATATCATGTCCATTTTGAATGAAGGGCACCTAGCCATCTGACATCCTCGAAACGAAACTCCGGAGTTATTATTAGTGTGCAACACAAAGAATAGAGGGAAATTCAGGGAAATGGCATGTTTCCGAATAACAAAACGTCAGTTATCCTTTCTCTTCTTCTGCTTCTGGGTAGACAGTTTTGCTTTTTAGTTCACCACGCATTTAACCCATCTTGAGGCCTTGATTTAGGAAAATTACTTTCCACAGTGAGTAACCCGCTCAAGTTTTTTCGTACAAGTTGCACGAATTCGGCTTTATCTTTAGCCAGAGCTGGCCATTTGCACTGTCCTTTCAACGTTCTCATCTTTTTCGCCTAGATTGAGTTAGTTATCACTTATACACCGTGGAGCCTGTTAAATTAGAATTCTAGACACCCTATCCATCATTCCACATGAATATCTCCATCCATCGAAAAGATCTGTGTTCTTTGCGCTACCACATCTATTAAAAGGCCGCTTTAGAAAACTTTGGGCTTGACATACTACAAGAACTGGTGTTTCAGTGGGCATTTGGCGCTACCTCCTGGTTTGTTTCGCTTTGGTTCTTACAGTCATCATCGCCTATATATATCACGTTTACAATATCATTCTTTTACCTGTGTGTATTTTAGCGGTAAGGCATCCTTTTGCTGCTCTGCTATGTTTTGTAGAGACTCACTCACATGTCCCGTATTCGGTCTTTGTGAGTTTAGCATTTGACAGTTTGCTTAGCAAGCAAGAGGGTATATTAAGATATCTATTGGCAATGGGCCGACTGTTGGAGTAAACACATAATTCAGCTAGCCCTCGCAAGAGGAGATCATAATCTCGTCTTAAATCCTTAACGTCGTCTGGTATAGATAGGTTCTTCAAATGCCTAGCTTACCCCTTCGCTGCCTGTATACATGTATCCCCGAACCTATATGGACATACCTGAAAGTTCTAGATAGTTGTATTGCATAGCAAATTGGAGACTGTTGAATGTGTAAGCAGTAAACAAAGACATCGAGCTGGCAGATTTTGGTTAGTGTTTTTGGATAAATAAATATCAAATAAAATAATAATAAATTAGTTAACATTATTTAACTTAAAGGAATATTTAAACCCAACGGGCCAAAATCTCCTTTTTTTTTTTTTTTTGTTTAACTTGTCAAATCACATAACGATATCAACTCCAAGCCAAAAAAAAAAATTCTCCAACACACATCTGGACTGTTCTCTTGTGCCAGCGTCATCTCGCAGACACACGCTCTACCAGGTAACTATCTTCCACCCCGATGACCAAATATCTTATGTGTTGCACGCCGCTAACTCCCCGCCAACGGCCTTCAGAAGATTCGCACCCCGTACCTGAGAAACCTAAAAGGCAAAAAAATAACGGGACATCTCCTTATCTCCTGACGACTTAAACGAGCAATATTGCGGCGATGAGTGAATCAAGGTATGAAGATGATTGTCTTCCTGTCGGGCAGACTGTACCCTGCGACTTCGGCATGGACATGAGAATGGCCGCCGTTGCCCCGCCTTGGCCAGGACGCGTTCCCTACGATACAGTCCACCGCTGGATCAAACGTCTCATTTCAAAATAGAGAGTTGTTAGGGATAATTATGATGACAAGTATGCTAACTTCTGGTTGGAAATAAATAGACAGGAGTTACTGCAATGGGTTAACAACCTGCTGCAGCTGAACGTGACAAAGGTCGAACAATGCGGAACCGGGTATGCTTGATACCCTTCTTCTAACACCCCTCTGGCTGACTACGCCCTCTTTTCCCTCTCATACGATTAATCCCACCTACCACCGCATATATACATCCCAATAGCAGCTCTGTGACGAGCTTCAACGTGAGCAGTCAATTTTGACTGTCCATTTGACCTCACAACATCACTGTGGGAGGCATTTTAGCAGTTTGCCGCTTTGATATATTATGACGTTATTCTGTGCCAGGAGAAGCATATGCTGACTGATGCTGGGAATGCACCGTATTAGTGCTGCGTTCTGCCAAATTCTTGATTCGATTTATAGTAAGTGTAGCCGTTGATTAAGGACAAACAGAACTGTCGACTGACTGCGAACATCACAGTGGATATTCCAATGGGAAGAGTAAAGTTCAACGTTAACACCGAATATGCCTATGTAAACAACTTTAAGATTCTACAGAGTAAGTCTCAGATACCTCGAAAAACTGGCATTGTTCAAGGACTGACAATCCGCTTTCTGCACAGATGCCTTCGCGCGCCATCAGATTGACCGCCCCGTCCCCGTCCAGGCGTTGATTAAATGCCGCATGCAAGACAATTTGGAATTCCTACAGTGGATAAAAAGACACTGGGATCAGTACTACCCCGGCGGTGAATATGATGCCGTTGCACGACGAAAGGGATCGGGAGCACCTCCACCTGCTGGAGCTGCCCGTTCGGGAACGTCTTCTGCCACCGGGACACGACGGGGTGCGACACCCACTAGCGCCGCTGGTAGACCACGAGTTGGCGGCGCGAACAACCTGGCCCTGACCCAGGAACTGAACGCACAAAAGGAAGCCATTGCAGGGCTCGAGAAGGAGCGTGATTTCTACTTTGCAAAACTGAGAGATATCGAACTTTTGCTGCAACAGGCCGTTGAGGCTGACCCTGAATTGGAAAAGGAAGAAGATTCATTGGTTAAGCATATTCAGGCTATTCTGTACTCGACAGAGGTATGACCCCTATCCATGTAATACACTGTCAGTGATCTTCGTTATTCACTTACTAACTCGAACTAGGAGGGTTTCGAGATTCCAGATGGTGAGGCAGGTGGAGAGGAGTTGGAGACATTCTAAACATACACATGAACATTCTTGCACCCTCACTTATCACAAATTGTTAATTCTAAAGGCTGCTTGTGTATTCACTGCCTGTCCCTGATAAATACTCATCTTGCTTGTTCTTACTCTTCTTTTCTTAATCCTCTTAAAAGATGTATATGTTACATAAGCGTATCTCTTGTACCTTTATCGGGACTAGCGTCAGGTACCATGGCCCGTGCTGTCCAATCAAGTGACAACCACTGTTTGATTGCTAGACTTGGCGCGGTCTTGGCGGGGGTTGTTCTCGATTAGGAAGCGCGCACGACATGGCTCAACTTCTTCGTTTTCCATCAACCATTTCCTTTGAGAAGCAGACATTGACGGCCGGGACGACGTGGAAGACTCCTGATGGCGTCGGTGCGGCTGCTGAAGAAGAGACATATCCACCAAGGACGCTGAGAAGGTAAGCAAAGAGACCGACGTGGCTCGCGGCTGGGGTTCGTTCGTTCGTTGTCTCGTCTCCCATTCTGCACGCGGGTTGGCTGGATATCTCAACCTATGCGAATGGAAAGCAGCCACAAAACTACTCATAGCCCTCTTCCCCCCCCGGCTCTTGACGTTTTCACTCTTTCAATTCGTTCGCAAGGTTATTATACACACAGCTGGGCTGACCAGGCTTCTCCTTACTCCTAGGTCCTTCCGATTTTTCTACTTTGGCCAGGTATTTTTTCAGCCAACTCGACAGCTGCCATATCAGCCGATACAGGACCCAATTTTAACACAAAATTTCTCTCAAATGATAGCTATATTAGCCGTGCCAGTTGGTCTGATGATCAGCATCCGTTCCTTTCGACCTTTCTCTCATTCTGCGATGGACTAGCAACAAACAACTTACTGCAATACTACCCCCGGGACCCCGGACCTACCATTCCTACGCTCGTTCTTTACCCTCACAGCGATTGACGTCCGCTCTTCTGACGATCCTCTCATTACTTGAACCATAAGACAAACGCCTGGCTCCGTTTTATGCATTGCTAGAAGCATTTAATCAGCAAATTCTTTCCGCATCACAGCATCCGCTCTCTACACATTTTGTTCATTTCTTCAACCATCTATATTTCGGTCATCTCAGAAAAAGGGACACTTATTCCGTTTCAAACTGGGCTTATCTGTCAGATTCAACTTTGATACTACGCGCCGTCTCCCTCTCGATCTGGTTCGATTTTCAATATCATACCATCACTCGACCTTTTGGCCTATATACTGTAAGGAAAGAGTGAATGCAGCAAAGCTCTGCAGAAGTTTACTTTTCTTTTTGTGATACTCTTCTTGGATCAATCGCGTAGATCCTTTGTGTGAAGCTTTTTTTCCTATTAAGGTGGTGTTTGAGATACTACTATATGCCCAAAAAATGGGCCACCATTTTGATAGGAGGAAACACTGGAGGGGGCCTGAATATCGGATGAAGGACATAGTACAAAGAGAGGCAATCCTGAGTGACGATCAGAACTTTGAACTGGTTCCCAATAAGCGTGAAATATCGCCAATACCGCCAACCGTCGTGGTACTAACAGTTATCGAAGCTGTCCTACCAGATGGATCTACCGCAGCCGAGTTTACTGTTCCTACTCTTCCGGCAACTGTTTCACACTCACGTCTAGGCATAGTCACGATTCCTGCTGGATCCATGTCCCCGATAATCGTGTCTTCTTTCCCTTCTCCACAGACTAAAATTCCAGAACCAATCATTGTTTCACAGCCTCCTCCTAGCCAGCCATCCAAGCCGTCAACCAACATCTCCCTTCCTTCTACTAAACATTCTTTACCATCGACCAACGTTTCTCTTCCCTCCAGTGAACACTCCTCACCATCGACCCATATTCCTCTTCCTTCTAAACCGTCTACGAACATTTCTAGCCCCTCTACTATACCTGCTACCTCCCAAATTTCTACCTCCATCCTCCCCACTCCACCTTCTGAAAGCTCTTCTATATCTTCTAATAGCCCAACCCCTTCGGAATCTTCAACCCCATCAACCCCGCATTCATCATCTCCAACCAGCAAATCGGAATCTGTATCTTCTACAAACAGCTCAATACCCTCATCAACACCTATCTCTTCAACTCATTCAAGCGGCCGCACAATTACCCCATCTTCATCATCCACATCCGTATCGTCAACATCGGCGGGTTCTAGTTCAGGATCTCTTCCTGGAGGGGGTGGAGGAGAGGTAACTGGCGGACAACCACCGGCACCTACTCAATCCAATGGAAATATCTCCAAGGCTGACTCAGGTGCTGATGTTCCCAAAATCGTGGGTGGCATTATTGGAGGTGTAGCTGGAATCGCTTTGATTATTTTGCTCTTACTTCTCCTGCGCCGTATACGGAAACGGAAATCCGTTCGGGAGAGTCATATCACAGGCGGAATAGCCAGCTCTGGTGCTTCCGCGGGCCGAAATACATTCTCTACCAGTAATACCAGTCAACTTTCCGGGTCCGTTCTTGGCGGAGCTACACGTGTTTTTGACAGGTTCAGAACTTCAAGCGCCTCAGTGGCAGTAGAGCCTGTCGAACGTGGATTCCAGAAAATAGGAGGCAGAAAGCTGACATCCGTCCTTGAAACCGGTGGTGATGGTTATGATGACAAATTTGGGACCGACGAAAAGAGTCTTATTGTCCCCCTTAAGCCTTCAGGTTTTCGAAAAGAGACAGGCTCCAGGTCTGCTGTTACCAGTGGGGAAGGCTCTTATGGGAGTGGTTTACACAAGGAACTAGGGTTGGGGCAGCAGACATCACGGTCCCCGCCAGGCCGACCCATCTCTGATGAGAGCACATATTCTGAACGAGTTGCATTCCGCCCTTCACCTGCTCGGACACCCATAGCAACACCTGCCGAATCTGTCATACGTGGAGGAATATCTACTACCCCGCACAGCGGTATAGTCGCCCCATCTGAGCCTCTACCAACCGCCTTACCACCATCTGTGAGAGACGGAATTGGACGGAGCTTGACTGACGGCAGCCGTGCAAGTAGATTCACAGAAGGCGTTTGAAACTACAAGGGAAGCCAAAATTTCTCCCTCTTCAATGCACGGAAGATTCATGATTATGCTCTTATTTATTTTACCATAACCGCATCATACCTTACTCTCTATTTGGCTCACCGTCATACCCCCGCGCCTTCCACCTATATTCTAATACTTTGCGGTGTTTCTAGTGTTTTTGAGGAATTATTCATTTTTGAAAAGCTTAGTACAGAATTAATACGCACCTCTAATCCAGCAGGATCATTCAAGATTCATTTTTTACTTCTCTTGCGTTAATTGTCCCGGCACCACCTTCCCTACTGCTTTTCTCCCTAGAAATATCAAGAGCTAGATCAGCCAGTATGGAGGCGCTGGGGCCGCTGGCTTTATATCCATTTATTTTGTGATATCCAGACCTCATTTGTTTTGTGTGGATGGTCGCATTAGAGCTTTTGCTTTTTCAGCATCAAAGGGATTATTCGGTTAAGAAACCAGGCTGCTGAAATTAGCTGGTTCATGTACATGAAAAGAAACCTTTACCAAGGTTGATATTCAATTTGCCTTCCTACATCTGCTTATATCCCGAGGGTAGACCTAGAGCGTGCTTTTCATATACTTCTTGCAGATGAATACAAGCTACTTGATCTCTAGTTCAAAATGAATATCCAGCATTTACGATAGAAAAGAACTTCACTGGCCACCAATGGCTCGAAGATTGCCATGTTTAAGGAGAGTTTTAAGTGTTGATTCGCTGTACTGGTTGTTCTTAATTATTTGTCTTGCTCTTTAGCAAGGCACCAATTATCAAGCTTGAAGACCCGAAAATACAAGAGCTCTCTCATAGACAACGGAATGATCAAAACCAAGAAAGCAATTAGTACAACGAATGATGTGGTTGGGATACGACTAGGCCTTCGAAAGGCCTGAAGGCCACGTTAAGTCTGTGCATGGCTTTATTTCTACATAACCATATATTAGCCAACAAATGCCTTCACGATGTATATTACAATGGACAGGAGGGCAGCTTACGCCGCAAGCAGTGCAGTTACAGGTTCCGCTAGTGCAAGTGCAGTCCTTTGGGCCGCTGCAGCCACAGTTGGTAGATCCACATCCACAGCCCATTTTGATGTTGTTTGTGGTAAAAGGCTTTTGGTTTGTTTCTGGGTTCTTTGCTTGGAGATTTGACAGTGTATTCAATTGAACTGTTTATGTCTGTAGTGTCAAGGAAGGAAAAAAGCAGGGCAGGAGACAGGGAGAGCATAGGCATTTAATAGGGATTTGGGAGCACAAGATGGTGATGTCATATCGGCGACTGACAAGGGTGGCACAACTCAATGTTGTGTTTTTGTATATTTAACTTGCAAATCACTGGCTGGCCATGCTACTGTCTGTCTTAAATCCGGTTCTTGGTAGGAAGTTTGTTCCGATGGGTTGGTGTTGGGCTATCAATATACTTGTTGACAAAAGTATATATATCATATAGCCTATTTAAACACTCCACCGCGGTGATGTATAGGCCTGGCGGGCCAACGACGGACTGAGAACATTCTATATCCTTTTAGTCTTCCGAGTCTTGGACTGCATCTATGACAGGCGTTGAACTTAGTAGAGAGTTAATAATAACTCCGAGTTGCTGATTAAAAAGCAAGTTAAAACCTATACCAGCAATTGGCATTGAAGAGAACTAGATAGTTATTTTCAGGAAATGTTCCTCTCGTTTGACCAGTTGTTGTCCAAGATGACTGTAGACATGGTTACTATGCAGTGATATACCCCCTGGGTATCCTATGGTATCCTAACCGAGTCTCTCGGGCTATATGGATGGTAAAAATCATTGACAAGATCAGCATGGATGGGATACCGACAGGTGAAGTTCACCTATCGCTTCGTTATATGATAAGAGAGAATCACCGGTCGAAAGACCCATTTGGTGCAAAGCCAGGATATCCAGGCTCACAAGTCACAAACACGCTTCAACCAGTTTATATCCTGTAACCTCTATCCTGTAACTATACGAGAGGGATATCCATCCAGCATCTTTGGGTCAGGAAATAAACCAACTATCAAGATCAGTCAGCGAAAGCAAAGCACGACGAAGATGAGTGAAAGACTCGAGACGTTACCCAAGACAAGCCGCACGCCGTGCAACAGGAGACAATGCTTCTCTTCGTCTTCCTTATCTTCCGAACACTGTGCTACGCCCTTTGCTGGACGAATAGCAGAGGCGATCATCGTGACGGCGGCCAAATGGGAGAGCAACAGAAGCCATACAAGCAATGTAAGCAACATATAGGCAGCAAGGGTAAGTTACCGCACTCTTTCCCAGTCGATTGACAGTAGATAGGTACCAGTAAACGAGTAAACAGATACATATAACGTGGGATGTACCGTGGTGGGTTATCTAGATGTTGGCCCCCTTAATATCTTAAATGTCACCGAAAAGTGGATGCGACTTGGATTTCTTCGCATTTCAAACCATCAAGACATAACAACTGCTTCTCTCGCCTTGTGGACGGCGTCGATACAAAAGAACAAGACGGGAGCCCTTTTGCTCTGCAGCAGCTGCTTCGATCACCTTCTCATCACCTACTATTTCGTCGCTCCTTTTTCCCTTTCCTTTGGCTCCACGTTCAGCTTTTTCCTTGTATCTGTTTTGCCCCCTAGCGACTTTTAGACCAGAGACCTTTTTTCGACCCTTTCCTGCGATCCACGGTTGCGAAGCCTTCGCTGAAACGACGGTTCAAGATATCTTCATAGGCCGGGACGGGCCGTCATTCGACTGATACAAACCACTTCGGTTTTTTCTTTTCTTCTCGCTTCAAAATAGGGAGTTATTCATCATGGCTGTGCGGAGTTGAGGGTGCGAGGTATAGACAGGAAAAAAAGGACCAGCAACCGACTACAAACATCTCGCTTCTCTATTCTTATACGGCCAGTGGAGAACGGCCTGTCAATATACGCTGCCTGCTGCAAACACCCGTCCAGCGCCGCCTTTGATCGTCTTCCTCCTTCCCATCGACCTCGCGCACACCGTGGCCCTCCGTGGAACCGTCTGGGAACGGTATATTCTGATCTCGCACAGCGGAATAAAGGAACGGCATTGTGACAGCTTCAGATAGAGACAGAGAAGAATCTTTCTAAAGGGGGGCCCTGCCACAAAGGACGAGAAGAGCGCGCGCGCTGGCTGGCATGGCGGGATTTGCTGCTGCAGAACCAACGGATGCCTCGATTCACCATGACACCACTACGACCAACAGTGGATTTCACAACTCTTACGATAATACAACGATAGCACAAGATGTACGTCTATTCCTTATGGAGTGGAAAGGTTCTTCTCTTTAGACAAAAATTTTCCTTTGATTACTGACATGCTCGCAGAATCTCCGCTCCCCCTCGAAAACACGCCATTCCGCCGACTCTCCCCCCCAAACACGGCATCCACGGCATAATCAGGTAAATGGTACCTCACTGTCTCGGACATCCTCTGCGGCAGGCTCCGGACGGGGCCATGTGAACGATTCCGCCTATTTGGCCCCCCACTCGGGACGAAAAGATAGCAGTCTTAGCCGCACCCATAGCGAAGCAGATAGCCTGTTAGACCTTTACAGCCGTGATTCTGGAAACCGCAGTGTCTCGAGTGTTCTCGATGTGTCTGAGAGAAAGGAGGATAGGCCGTTCTATCAAATCGAAGCAGAAGACCCGGAACATGCTCAGTGGATACACCGTGACAAGCTTGCGAAGATCGAAAGTGAGGAGTTGCAGCAACTCGGTATTCGCCTGCCTGCGTCATTTACGGGCAGTAAGAGAGGGAGAGGCCGTAACCATGACGCTTCTCTAAACGGGATTAATGGAGCTACGACAGAACACAGCGAGCAGTGGCCTGCCCTAACGGATGGAGAGATGGAGAAAAAGCATAAGCGAGCTGCTCGTCTGATGTCAGAGGTGATGAGAGTATACCTCTTGAAGAGACAAAAACTGAAATTATCAACTTCGATCCCCG